AGATCTCAGGGAAGCAGGGGCAGAGATCATATGCCACGAGATAAGCCAACAGATAGGTGGCAGCCTGTGAGAGCCACAAAGCCTGCTGCTTCACCTATGCCCTCCAAATCTCCCACACATCTAAACTGAGGCTGACTCTGATTGGAAACAGAGGAAAGGGACTTCAGGAAATGTAGTTTAGCCACCCTCCACCCAAACCAACACACACACACACATACACACTCTTCTCCTTGATTCCTTTTCGTTGTCTTCCTCTTTATCCATCTTCACCCTTCTTCTGGATCACATTGTCTAACTCTTTCTCAGAAAGGCGCCGTGAAAGTAGATTTGTTTTTCCTTAGTTCTTGCACATCTGGAATGTCTTTATTCTACCTTTGCACTTGATTGCTAGCTTGGCTGTGTAGAGTTCAGATTTTTCCAGTCTCAGAATTTTTAAGGCATTCTTTCTGTGGAGAAGTATGATGCTATTCTGAACCTCAGTACTTTTTATGTGATTTCACTCCTTCTGGAAGCTTTTTGCAACTGTTCACTAAACTGTTGCTCAAAATTTTATCGTGATATACCCAAGGAGTGGGTGCTTTTTGTCTTGTTTTTAAATTCATTGTGCTGGACACTAAATAGACTTTTTCAATTTTATCTCCTTCAGTTCTGGGAATTATTTTTCTGTTGTTTCTCTGATAATTCTCTCTCTGTTGTATCCTATCTCCTCTTTGAAAGTTCTGTTGAGTGCATGCTTGACTTCCTAAATTAAACCTCTAATTTTCTTATCTTTTCTCTCCAATTTTTAATATCCTTGTCTTTTTATTCTGCTTTCTGGGAGGTTTCTTTGATTGCATATTCTAATCCACTCAGTGAAGTTTATTTGTTTTTAATTTCAACTATTTTATTTAATATCTTGGAGCTCTTTCTGCCTTGTGCTAATTGTCCCTTTAAAAAAAAATACTGCATTCTATTACTGTTTCCCTGATAATACTAAATATAGTTTAGGGGAGGTTTTCTTCTGCAAACATCCCCACCCATCTTAAAAAAACAGAAAACGAAAATACCTTTTGTTTGCCCCTCTTCCGTTTATAGCAATCGTACCCCTCTTCAGCTATCTCCAATTTCTCCCGTCCCGTTCTCTCTGAAACTGACTCTAACCAGACTATCACTCCACCACTCCACTGAAACTGAGCTTGTCACCATCTCCAATGACTTCCATGTTCCTTAATTCAAGGATTGGTCCATGGAAAAGGGGAAAGATGGCCGCTGGGGGGGGCCTCTATGGAGAAGAGAATACTCATAGCTAATATTCCTGTTTACATTTTTCTTTTCTGCATTGTCATTTTCTTCTGTTACTCCCCAAATTTCAGAAGTTTTGCAAACATCACAGCCTATTAAATGCTTATGTTGGGATTTGATGAAGGGGCTTGTGTCCAAGTTTACATTACATTAGGGAAGGAGAAAGTGGCCTTTTCCCACAACTACCACCTCCATTTTGAAAACTACCTGGCAGCAAGAGCATTTCAAGACCACCATGGTCCCAGAACTCCAGGAGCTGGCCAGGAACAGAGCAAAGCAACTGGATTTTTTAGATAAGAATATGGATTTTCTAACCGGATAATTACAGCAGCTTTGTCATTGTCTGCTTTGAGCACCAGAGGGACTATAAAGGGGATCCCTAATTCCACAGGACTCTGTATCCAAGTCTCAGCTCCAACCTGGTTGACTCATCCATTGTACATACCTATCAGTGTTGCCTAGTTATCCATGAACTTTCCTAATTTTGGTATAAAACTTTAATCCTCTTTCATACCACATCCTCAGAAGGTTTCTTGTAGATAAATAAGCAAAGAGAAGAATTTAAAAGTAGGAGTGGATCGTAGGGTCCATTTGATCCAATAACTTTTTTTTTAATAGAGGAGAAAATTGAGTTTCAGAGAGGAGCAGTGAATTCCTCAGTGGCATGCCATGAGCCATCATGGAGCTTGGGAATCAATGCAGTTCTTTCAGTCTTCAATAAAGTGTTCTGAATCGTTTGACTATACCATTCATATTGACATGACATGGATTAATTAATTCCAGGCCCGTTAATTGAGCATATATTAATTTAAACTCACTAGTTACATAGACAATAGGAATAGGTAGGTGATTCACTAGTAAAATTGGTTTAGTTTTACTAAACTTTAACATGCTTTTCCATATTAATTCCTCAGATTTAAGCCACATGAGAATGTTTTATATTTGTTCAGGACTCCATGTGAGATGACATTTAAACTAACATTTTAGGAAGGAGTTTTATAAACTCCACCTGAGGAGGCTCTGTTAGGTGCCTGAAATGAAAACTATTCTTGATGACCTCTTTCCTTGATACTTACAATATGCTCCATTCTGAATATTTTGATGAGGCGCGTTTTAAGTTTAAAATGTCATCACTGTATTCAGAGCACAGGATTTTATAAGTTCCATAAAGGGTTTCTCCCCCTGAATTGGGAGTCAAGGTTGGAAAATATAACCATCAGAAATGTATGCTTGTAGAATACACTAAAAGATATATGATCAGTTGTCTGAGTCTAGTTCATGATGGGGCTGAGACAGACATGTTCAGTGGTGCAGGCTGGAGCGAGCTGGAGACGGGGAGACCTGGAATTCAACCTTCCCACTAGGACTGGGTCAGGTATCAGGTAATGGGCAGACACAATACAGATTCCAGAGGGTTTGGATGACAATTGTGCTATAACTGGTATATTAATTGAGAGAGTTCTCTTGAGTATGGTCTTCCAGGGGAGAAGGAAAGAATTTGTCAGTGCTCATCTAATCTTGTCCGGGAGCCAGAGTGATCTGATCTTGGTGCAACTGTACCTGTTGAGCCAATGGAACATTCTCAGGCCAGAGAAGAAAAGTATATCTAATTACTTTACTTTGAAGGAAAAAAAAGCTGCTAAATCCAATGCTCTTTATTCATGTTCTTTGTTCATCAAAATTCCTTTTGCCTGATTTGCTCTAAGATGATTCTGTCCACCATAAGGATGTCCTCTATGCAAATACCTAAAAGGATTATCTTACCAGGCAATTCTTTTTTCCTAAATTAGTATGTTCACTTTTCTGTTTTATGTATTCCTTGAGAAACTGTCAAGTGTGAGTCCGCTCTCCAGAAAACAGCCACTCAGGGTAAATATGTAAAATCCAACTTCTAGTCAAGCTAAGATATAAGCCCAAGGAGTTCCCTGTTCTGTTCAGTGAAGCCCCTGTAAGAAGCTGTGCCTTACAGCAAGCACCCCCACCCTTCTGTTTCTGGTCCATCTCCTTAGACACTGCATCCTACTAGATCCTCTCATATGGGCGTTCTCTCACACTTCTGTCAGCCAGTGACCTCAAGTTTCATTCTCATTCATAGCTTTCGTACTGTTGTGCAAAGACAAATTTGACCTTTCCCGATGACAGCTCTTCCACCATGTTCTGACAATACATCCATGGACTACAGTAATAATTTTCCTCCTGGCAAATCCAATTGCTGGCATGCCTTAGCAGAACATCGACCCTAGATTCTGTCCTTATTGTCTGATTAGCTTTTTCCTGGTTTCTCCTGAGGCAACGATGCTGGTCAAATCCTTGATTGACAGTATTCACTATCTTTAATGGTAAAGAGCACAGATTCTGAACCAGACTGCCTTTGAATCCTAGCTTTACCTCTTGCTAATCATGTGACCTTGTCTTAAACCTCTCTGCCTCAGTTTTCTCATTTGTGAAATGGAGACACTAAGATTACCTGCTTTTAGGGCCGTTGAAGCCGAATGAATATATTTACCATGTGTGGTACATACGTGAGCCGCACATGACAGCTACTGTTATCGCTGATTGTCCCTGCTCTGAGGAAGTGAGTGCAGGGCTTATTCAGTGATTGAATGGGGAGGAGGCAAAAGGGATACAAAGAGGGAAAAAAATAGGATTGTATTTCAAAATGTTGTATTTTACCACAGAGATAATTATCAAATCGGCCAAATAACCCCATACCTTTGCTTTTGAAATTTAATGTCAGCAGCTTGAATTTACTCTTACGGATGTATAATTTCCACTTCTCCTGTGTGTGTAAACCACTTCAACCTAACTGACTGGTTCTCTTTCCAGTAAATCATCAGGATTACATTTTGCTTAATAAACCTGAAAATTTCTGAGTCAATGATAGGAAAATGCTTAACAGGAAGGCCAAACTCCAGCAGTACCTCAGTCCAGAACACAGCAAAGAACAGAACAGAGAGAAAACACATCTCCAATCTTTTACTGGAATCTGAGTTAATAAATAGAACAAATGGCAAACAAAAGGTTGAGTTACATCAGAATGAAAAAAGAAATGATGAACCTGGGATTCCGGTCTGAAACTCTTATGCAATATGATTAATGGAGCTAACATCGCCTCTTACACATTAGAAAATACTCTAGGGTTTAAAACAAAAGGAACAACTTGTTCAGAGGATAATTGATGCTTACAGATAAATTTCTCAATTTTGTACCCCAGAGAATACTTTTGCTTTTCTTCAAGATCAAATAAACTGACCATTTCATCTTGACAGTTACTAACTTGCCACATTATTTATAACTAAGAAAAATTTGGCTTCTGTCCATACAGTAGTTGAAATGACATTTTAGTCTGTATCTTTATAGGTAAAATTTTATTATCATTAGTACTATAAAGCAAAATTTTGACTGAACTCTGGTTTTACTTAATCTTCAAGTGACCATTACTAAAGTTAATAAAAATACAGAAATTCTCTGGATGAGCATAGTAATAACTTAAAAAATCAAAAATACGTTTTTATAAAGATAATGGATTTTTTGTAAACATTCAGACATATAGGAGAAAAAAAAATCAGAGTATTGGGATTTGTCCTTGACTCTCCTCTTTTAGTTTTCCTTCCAGTTAAACTGATTGCCTCATATATTTGCTTCTGGGCTGAAGCCAGATCCAACATTGTCCCTATTTCTAATCAGATAACGGAGAAGCAATTACAAATTCTGAATGCTGCTAGAGGATCCTGGGAGGCAGAGTGGCTGGTCCTCATCTAAGCTGTGTCTCTGACTCGTTTCTGGCTTTAGGCAAGGTATTTAACCTCTCTGCATTGTTGTTATAATTGTAGCAGTGCTAGTTTATTTCACAGGTATGATATTAGCATAACTCAAGGAACAACCATTGGCTATTGGGAGAGGTCAGGTTGATTATAGAGACGGCTGCTTCTGCCACTTGGAAAAGAGATTTAGAATTACACCTCCTTTCTATTCTTGGTACATTTTGAATGAACTGGATGAGAATTTGATGTAAATAATAAGATTTGCAGTTTTAATATACAACATGGAAAGTAAAATAGACCATGCTATAATTTCCACTTCAGAGGTAAATACTTCAGAAATGTTCTTTATGTCTGTCTTTTGGGAATCAAGCTTATTTGGCTTTTTAAAACTCATTGAGTATAAATTCTTGAGATAAATAATAAAGATATAGTTATATTCCAGGACCAGAAAAGGGAGAAAAATTAGAATAAAATAACTTAAAAGAGTTTCTAAGTCTGTGTTTATGGGTAATTTTTTAACTGTCTTACATTAATGTGAGGCACCTTATTGTATCTTACACATTACTATTTGTGAATGCTTACTATTTTTTAATTGAAGTATAGTTGATTTACAGTGTTGTCTTAGTTTAGGGTGTAATGAATGCTAACTTACTAAATATGCTTCCTTCATGGGGGAGGGTATAGCTCAGTGGTAGAGCGCACGCCTAGCAAGCACAAGGTCCTGGGTTCAATCCCCAGTGCCTCCATTAAAAATAAGTAAATAAATAAAACCCCTATTACCTACCCCCCCAAAAATGCCTCCTTCAATAACTTTTTCTTCTTTTTATATTTCTTTTATCTTGTATCCTTTCATAATAGCTCACTTAAAACATATCATTTTTTAAAATTTTACATGCTAATAATGTACTTTTGTCTGGTAATTGTATTTTCAAAAGTTACATGTCAGCTGTAGAACTGTAGAACTTTTCAGTTCCAAACAATATTTTTGCCATTAAATTTAATTTACTATAATCAACTAACTTAAAACATTTTTAGTAGGGAAGAAATTGGATTTTATAGACTTAGAACAATTTATGTGAAACAATATAGTACGCCAAAGAATAGCCACTTGAAAACTATTTTAATTTTATAATAATTAGAAGTTTTGAAGCAGCCCAAAGCAAAAACATTGTAAAAGAAATACAACTAATTATATAGTGAGGAACTAAATAGTATCATATAACTTTACCATAAGCCAGATTTGCAAAATAATAATGGTTTACTATGATGAATGGTGGAGGTCAGATTTTTAAAGCATAGAGTGTTTTTCAAATACATAGATATTTCTTCAATATTGTAGAAGATGGTTGGAATTACTAATGAGGGCAGAGGGGAATTTTAGAGGACTTAAGATATTCTCAGGAATTATTCTAAAGATGATCAAATTAATATAATGACTCTTAAAATATATATAACATTTTGAAATGCCTTATAGTTTAAGGACCTGACAGACTAGGGGCTGCCTCCTGTCTCTGGGAAAGACCAGAGTTGATTATTTGAATGCAATGTGTTGGGAATTTCAGGACACCAAGAGACAGAGACCTGCCAAAGCTTTTCATTGGTCCTTTATTTGCTACCAAATTTAATGCATTGCAATCTGTATACATGTTATATAATTTCCCAGTATCTCCCAGGGCACATTCAACACACACTTTCACTTATGCAAGAGCTAGATTCAGATATAGATATAAGAACACAATTTTAAGCTAATTTATTTATTTCTGAAATAAAATACCTGACTACACAAAAAAGGGAACTTGATGAACTAAACAAAAATACAATAATTTCAACAGATAGCGTTAAAGCAAAATGTGAAAGGCAAAAACTTGCATGACTTAATTCTTGACGCCTGAATATTTTATCTGATAGTTGTTGGAAGTGGATTAAAGTAATGAAGAGCTGGTTGCTATCATATAAGAAAAATGAGATTATTTTTATTACTGGAAAGAAAGGGAAAAGTTTAATCAGTAATCCATTAACCACACTGGTTCTTTTCAGTCAGAACATTTTGAATCACATCCACAAAAAAATGGTATTATATTTTTATACTCATTTCCCATATTAATGTGAATTTACTTACTGAAAGTCTGTTTTATTTCTTTAGGCAAATGATGTTCCCATTCTGAACCTTGTTTCTTCAAGTGTTTATGATGTTTGGGTGATCTCACTTCCTTTAATTATATTTGACCATATGTTCTAGCCTCATGGGATAATAATTTCTACTTCTACAATCTCTTTTATGTGTTTTAAGAAAACATTTTCTATTTTCTATCTCTATTTTATTTTGCTTGCAAGCAACACAATTATTCCTCCTTCTTATTTTCTGTAACATTAAAAAATTTTGTGTTTGTCACCATGTAATTGATTACACGTTAAGAAACCTCCACTATGTGGAGGGCTATTTGTGCTGTTTTGTTTTATTTTTTAACTACTTGAACTTCATGATAAATTTTAAATTTAAATAATAAATGACCATAAGGGTACACATGAGATTTTTTTAAAATAGCAGCAAAGCTGTTGTAATTTTACTCAAGAAATATATCTGTTATCAACTGAAAACATGAGTCAAACTAATAATTTATCATGAGATAGCTATGATAATGGCTTTAACCTTTTAAGAGCCAAGTTTTAAAAATTTAAAGTATTAAGTTTTTAGGGTTTTTTTTGAGGATTTTATAAATCTAAATAATCTCTTTTAAAAATACATCTTTTTAAGCTGTCACACACCACAATGTCATGTTTGCAAATAAAAACTTTGTGAAAGACACAGTTTATTAAGGGTTCTGAATCACTGCTGGGAGCAGGGGATCATGAAGGGAATCATAGGAACATCCAATAAATTCAGCAAACAGATGTAAAAGAATTTAGTCTCTAGTAAACAACTGTAAAATTGTGAAAACAGATACTGGGAAGCTTTAAATTTGAACTTAAGATTCACAAATTTTCTTCTCATCCATTCAACGGATATTTTATTAAGTACCTGTAGTGTGTTGAATTGTGTCCCCCAAAGTGATATATTCAATTCTAACTCCCATTACTTGTGAATATAACCGTTACTCAAGGAACGCTTTTAAAGAGGTGGATGTGACCATAGCAAAGGGGACTAGGGGAGAGTGGGCGGAGAGGAGGTGTGAGTGAGTAGGGTTTGCAGATTATGTAAAGCCTTGTAGGTGGGTGACCACTATCCCAGTTTGCCCAGAAAAGGCTCAGTTAAGACCATTGTCCCAGTATTATTCTCAAAATTGTTATGGTTTTTTACACTGGAATCTTCCAGTGGTGGCTTGGACCAGATGGTAACAACAGAGTGGTAAGTGGTGGTTGGATGTTGCATTAATTTTGAATGTGGAGCCATTCCTTGGAAAAGTGATTTTGCTTCTCTACTTTAACGTCCTTTAGTTAAAAATAAATATTGTCATTTCTCTTCTAAAGGCATCCTAAAATTAGTTTATGGCAGAACTATGAGATTCCATGTGTTGACTACATGTTAGCAATTTTTTAACATATTTTAATTAGTGCATATTAATGTATTAACATGGAGGCAGTATTCATATAAAATTGTGTTGTTGCTAAATTATTTTCTCTCTTGTTAAATAAGCTACAAATATTTTATTTCTAACCTGTGTCTTTTGGCACTCGTTTTAGTATAAAAGGCTACAGTGATTTAAGTATGCTCTATCCAGCTAACTAATATGTGTTAATTTGAAGCATATGAAATTGCCATTTATATAGGTCAAAAATGTTAAAACATGTGCCATCTCTTATAGTTCAACCTAATATATTAAGAAAGGATCGACTAGGCAGTAAAGAAAGACACTCAGGAGGCTTAAGGGGGCCTTGGAGGCAGCATGGTTTTTGGCAAGTCACTAGACACCCCTGTGTTTATTTCTTCTTTTTGTGATCAGGCCTATGAAATAAAATACAGTAACCGATTGTATTTTGGTTGAATGCTTCATGATCCTCAGACACAAATACAATAATATGGTTACAAATGACTGTTTTACTCCTTGCAACCGGCATGCTGACTTTATGGGGGTGCACCCTTCTCCCCGATGTAAGTGATCTACAGCCTGGTAGAGGTGTACTCCACGTGGCACCAATCTGCTGTTCTGTGCGGTGCTGCCAGCCACACATGCTGCTTGGCATCTTGCTGGGAGTGGAGCAATTGCCCCAAAAGGGCCACTCAGGAATTTTTCTCTGCCATTATTAAAATACTGTTCTCATAATTGTGAAGAAAGATACTAAAGCATGCTGTAGTCTGTAATTTTCTGGTAATAGAGATTAGAAGACTAGAGGCCACTAGATTTTTAAAATTTTCAGAATTTCCAAGAGTAGTTAGAAACTGTGTGCTGAAACTTCCTCATTCTAGTCCATTTGTTCCTGTTACTGTTTTTTTCTGAAATCTTCCTTAAAAATAGACTTTTCCTGCTGTAATTTAGTTTAAATGGATGGTTATTGCTTCTTAATAAAATCTCTGACTACTGATTTGTAACTGATCTAACCCTTTGCACTAGTTAATGTTTAAAAACATTCAGCCACAATTAATAAGGGATAATTTTTGTTCTGATTTAGCAGTTGAAAGATACTAGATAATTTTTAATTTCATTGGTGGTAAAATATACATAACATAAAATTTACCATTTTGACCATTTAAAAATATATACTTCAGTGGCCTTAAGTACATTCACACTGCTATGCAACCTTCACCACCATTTCATCTCCAGCACTTTTTCATCTTCCCACAATGAAACTCTGTACCTGTTAATCAATGACTACTCTTTGCCCTCTCCCCCAGTCCCTGGCAACCACATTCTACTTCCTGTTTCTGTGAATTTGATTACTCTAGGTACTTAATCTGAATGAATCACACAACATTTGTCCTTTTGTGTCTGGCTTATGTCACTGGCATGATGTCTTCAAGGTTAATATTTCATTGTCTATATAAATATTCTGTTCATCCATTCATCTGTTGATGGACATTAGGGTTGTTTCTACCATTTGGCTATTGAGAATAATGCTGCTGTAAACATTCGTATACAGATAATTGTGTTCAAATCCCACTGTCAATTATATCTGCCTTTTTTTTTTTTACAGTATGGAGGTTTGGTTTTTTTTCATTAGAATTTTTAAAACCCAATTTTATGTAGAATTGAAAAATATGTTAACTGAGAGAATTAGCAATAGCATTAAAGTCTAAGGATACTTGCCTTTTCTATTTTGAAAAAGGAGAACCTATTCAGAAGCTGGTCAATGTAGCAGCAAACATTGACCTTGGAGATATTTATGATTCAAGTAGAAAAGCACTACATATAATTTATAAACAAATAAGACAAATTGAGAACTATTCCTCATTGGTGATCTTTGGAGAGCAATACTCACCGTCTCAGCTTTTCTTAGAAAAGATTAACCTTAAGTTTCCAATGAAATACTACTCAATATTATTGACGTTTAGTACAGACGATAGTAGATACATTGACAACCTTTATATTTTTTTCAAATGTGATTCATGGAGTGTAAACATTGAAAGCAATTGAATTCTTTCTTTTTTTTCTCCCATTTTTTTTCTATCTTTCATTCTGATGGAGGAAGAGGCCCATGTTTCAGAGACTTGTTGTATTTTATTAGGCCTTAACTGCATATAATTATGTTTAAATGAACAAGGTTAGACCACTGGTATAGCTAAATCTAAAGAAAATAAATCTTATTGTAACAGTGTTTGATTGCTTGCCTAACAGGAAAGGTAGAATTAGCTTCGTTCCATACATACCTAAAGTAAATTATGGTAATTGCAGTGATAATTTATTCTTCTGAAGTCTCTTTCTTCACAAATGGAATCTTGACAGGTGGACCAATGTTAATAATGTCAGATCCTTCCAAGAACTCCCAGACAAAAGAAACATTACCCCCAGGATCCGGATGCAAATGTGTTTGTTTATAACATCAGATGTCTTGGTTTACAGCATTCACTTCAGTCTGAAATTTTGCTAAATTTGTAGGTTTGACCACAACATCTGCAAATGCAAAGTTTAGGAGACTACTGCATTATAAATGGGCTCTGACTTTATCTTTTATGGCAAAAATAAAAGCTACCTAGGAAAATTTGTATATAATTCCAAGATTATTTTATCAATTAGAAAATACTAATTGATAGCAAGCCTATTCCTGTTTCTTCTGAGTTTGTTCACGCTTCTGTTTGTTTGCACTTCTCACCTCACTTCTCACCTCACTTCTAGCCCCTCTCAAAACCCACAGACGGGATCTCTGTTTTACACTGGAAAACATTTTAAGTGCCATAATTAAACTTAATTTTCTCTATATCTTAATATAAGCTAATATTTTTATATAATTAAATGTGTTTAAAATAAGCTCTATATATTAGCATTTAGTATACATAGCACCTGGCATAAAGCAGGTACCCAGTGTGTGCTTGAATTTTAAAGAAAAATAGTTACTAAAATAATAGAAAGAGTAAAATATCAGTTTTCCTAAACTGTTGCTACAAATTATGTCATATGAATGTATAAAAGGATGACTTACTTTAAAAAAAAGGGAGTCTATGAATTCTCATCAGAACTTTTCTGTACTGAAAAATTGTATTTTTTTAACATTTTTATTGATTTATAATCATTTTACAATGTTGTGTCAAATTCCAGTGTATATGTTTTTGTTTTGTCTAATTTCCTTTGCCCACTTAGCTGTGTAATTTACTCAGCACTTTACTTCCTTCTGTACATTTTGGTTATTTGGTTTACAATGTTGGGTAAAAGGGTTCAATCATAATAGGTAAATGATACATTTTCATGGTAAATTAATTGGTATCGTATGGATTTCTGCACAGTGTTGTCATATAGAACATTTGGACTTTGTTTCTTTCAACTATTAATTAAAGATGGACACAGAATGAAATTTAAAATAAGCCTCCCTTCAGACAGAAAAATGCCTTTGAAAGAAAGAAGCAAAATGTTGTGCCTGCACCTTTCCTGTGTGCACGGAAAAAGCTTGCCAGCCAGTGGGCTTCTTCGAAAAAAGATCAGGCAAGAATGTGGCTCTTTAGTTGGGGAGTTCTCCAATGTCAGTATCTGAAGATCTTTTCTCTGAGGCTGTTCATTCCTTCAGAGAGGAATCCCACATGCTCTGGCCTGGAGAGATGGGGGAAGTATAGACCTGGCTGCCTGGCGGCCAAGCTGCCAGGGTAGGAGTCGCCTGGGGAGGTCTCATACTTAACAGAACAATGTCTCTCCTCTGACCTCCATTGCGCCTGCGGTCGTGCTACCTGGGGTCTCTCTGGTTCAACCCTGAAAGACAGTAAGCCTCTCGTTTTCTGATGAGGTAGGAGAAGCTGGATTCACCCAGCTGCTCAGGGTTTAAGTGAGGATCTGGGTGTCAGCCCATCACTGCACCCTGCCTTCCAAGCTAGCAGTCACCTCCAACCCCACAGCTGTGTGGGACGCTGCAGTGCAGCCTTGCTGGCTCCTTGGGGTACTTACTCCTCTGCTGCTGCTTGCTATTCAGTTTTAGCATCTCTGCCAGCTCCCCCATGTGCTTTTTGTCATCTTGTTGACAATGTGTGCCATATGTTTTCCCCTTTTTCTTCCACCTTGTCAATCCATGTCTTTTCCGTTTTTCTTTACTCCTTTTCTATTCAGTTCTGAGAAAGAAAGAAAAAAATAAATGTACATGTTCAATCCAACCCAAGGTCCCTCCTTAACTCCTTCCTAACACTTATTTTCAAAAATATACTTAACCTATTGTTTTCCCCTTGACCAGGATAAGCATAGGGGAGGAAGTATGTCAATGCAAACAGACTAGTTTTACGGCAAGGAAATTACATTCTCCCCTCTGAGAAGGATTTCTCCTCTTGGGGAAAAATTTTCCACAGAGACAGTAAATAAACTTTTACTGGGGTTGCCACAGTAAGTTAGATGCTAGGGACACAACAATTAGCAAGTGTGGACTTTGCCTTCAAAAATCCTATTCTAAGCCAAGTAGCATGGACAAAGGGAAGCAGTTGGAGAGAGACATAAAAAACCAACCAAATGATAATTTCACCACCTGGCTCAGTGCCTGAGACATAGCAGGCTTGCAAGCAGTGTTTACTGAGTGAATGAATGCTATATGATGGTCTGTAAACATGGTATGAGAGCGCAGTGGAGGAAGTCATTAATTTTGTCTTGAGAGGCCATCTGGAAAAGTTTAGTTTTTATATTTAATTACATATGATTTTCACGAATACTAAATTTACATTGAACTTAACTTTCATTTTAATATTTATTTTTATTTCTTCCCCCAAACATTGCCTTGATGAGGCAGCTGTGCTTTATTCTCCCACAGCCTACAGCACAGGGCTGAGCAGATAGCTGATAACCAGTAATGCCGGCTGATGCCACCATTCTTTGTTTAGTGCAGCTGTCTTCTCTCCTGCCGAGGTGCCCTAATATTCCCTTGCAGAAGCACATGCCTTAGGAACAAGAAAGTTGCAGCCATGTTCAAGAGAGAGTAAGAAGTTCACTGGAGAAGACCAGGTAGCAGGGCCCCTATACTTCTGTGCAGCCTGGTCCCTATGTAGAGCAGGCATAGATGTATAGAGAGAGGAAGGCCATGCAGAGTACAGGTCAGGGGTCATGGTGGAAAGCCCTCCCAGCTTAACTGCTGGGTCTTCAGCGACTTAACCTCTCTGATCTAACCATTTGTGTGATAGTACTTATGTGACAGAATTATTTGAGGATTAAACAAGATGCTCATAAAATGCATGCCACAGGTACTCCATATCTTATTTAATATATACCTATGTTTTATGTATGTAGTTAAAAAAAAAAGTCAGCCAGAAGTGAAAAAGTGTGAAGTAAAATTGTACAGTTTTATCTAGTAGACTCTTAATTATTCTCTGTAATGCACAAATTTCACATATTTTAAGAATTTGCATTATATTTTACAGTGCTTCCGAAGATGCCCATTCCATGCTGTTTGTCACTGAATTTAAATAATACCCCTTCCAATCTGAAACTGTTTTTGTTGGCCCAAGAAGGACTGAGAACTGCCTACTTTGTTAGCATAGACTGAAAACAATTTTGTCTATTAAATCTTTAAATCATTGCTTCTCAAACTTTGCTGAACTTTGGAATCAGCTGGGAGTCTTTTAAAAATTCCAAGACCTGACTGCCGCCTTTAGACTTTTGATTCAGTTCCTGGGCATGGACATTTTTTAAAGCTCCCCAAGTGAGCCAAATGGGTAGCAAAGCTTAGGAACTTTTTTTTTAGTGTTTTGTTTTTTTTTTTTTTGGAGGGGGGAGGTAATTAGATCTATGTATTTATTTATTTGTAGAGGAGGTCCTGGGGATTGAACCCAGGACCTCATGCGTGTTAAGCATGTGCTCTACCACTTGAGCTATACCCTTCCTCCCAGGAACCATTTTTCTAGTTACATAAAAATTGAGAAAGAGACACGTGAAAAGGACCTAGTGGTCATAGGTTTTATAAGAATAAAATCAGGCTGACAGATAAATAATTCAGTTGATTCCAGTTCTTTTTTTTTTAGCAGAAACCATAGGTATAAAATTTGTTTGAAGATTATGCACATTTCTGTCCTAGGTTACTTAGCTTCTAAAATTTATGAAAATTCACCACTGGCAGCACAGTGAAGTTATTTTAAGGATGAGCAAAATTTTTCATCAAGACTCACGACTTCAAGATTGATTTTTAAAATACTCTCAAGAAGTGATAAAGTTAATTTTTTTCTACAACTTTAAAGAGGGCTTTAAGTTTTATATTGTGTTGGTAGCTTGCCTATCCATTAAGACATTAAGAAAAACAATACATGTCACTTCCCACTTGTAACTTTTTTTTCTTTATTCCTTTTTTCCAAAATAAAAAGTCTCCCACATACAAAATGAGTTCATCTAGCACTTATCATAGGCCAAGTTGTCTGAAAATGTTACATCAAGATGACCACAGTCTTATGAGGTAAGAATTGTGATGTCTATTTTACAGATCAGGAGCATCTGATAGTAAGTTGCCTAAGGTCACACAACTGGGAAGTGGCTAGGCCAAAATATGGACCCAGGTCTTTGTGCTTAAAAAGCCTGTGCCTTTTCCACATTCCAAAAACTCAGAGTCCCACCTGTATGTTTGCTGTCAAATTGCTTCAATTCTATACAAGGGAACAGTGAGCATCCTTTGCTAGAGGAAGCCTGGGAAAGTCCAGGAGAATTTCCTTGGCTATTCTCAGGTTAGACATGGCCTTGAACTGCATCTGACCTCCTGGAACCCATTAAGTCCGAAGCTCCAGATCTGGTCTCATGAAAAATTCACAGTAAATTAAGTTTATGAAATTCTTTTCATTCTTGCAGTTCTTCCAATGGGAAAAATGGTGAAGATGTTCGGTTTCATCCTTGTCACCACTACCCTGATAATGGGCAAGGCAACCTGGGTAAGCTCATTACAAACAATATTGTCTTTTTAATTCCTTCTTTGATCTGAAGTTTCTTTTATTTTGCAGAGAATCTATAGTAACTTGTCACTGAAGAAACAACTAAGGGAGAAAAGTGAAAAAGGTTTGTGGAAGCACCTACCACAAAATAGGCACTTACTAAGTGCTTAAAAATTCTTTTAAAGTGCTTAAAACTTTTAAAAAGTAAAAGTCAGTATTCTCACTAAGTAAAATCTTTTTGAATTTGCTGGAGTTATTTGGGTGGTTACATAATATTAAAAATGTAAAACTGTCCTTTCAAATTGACCTTTCCAATATTGGACACTGTCAGTGTAATATAAACAGATTATTTGAAAGTCATTACAATGAACTGTGCCTTCCGCCATTCGTGAGTAAAAAGGAGAAAACACACATTTGCTCAAAGTTCAGGGAGAAAGAAAACCCCTAAGTTTTAAATAAGCTTACTGACACTGTATATGTAATCTCATAAAGATTGAGCATATTTGCCCTGTGTAGTCCACTATATTAAACAATATCACAACCAATTTCCCACTGTTAGAAAGCAACACCAGACTGCAGACGCCATGGAATGTCTTTCTGTTTATTTTTCAGACAGGCTGGCTCGGAGCTAAGCAAATAACTTGTTCAGAGAGGATAAATCAAAGAGTGATGAGGCAAGAGTACCAAGGGCAAATAAGAAATGGTCCTAGAGAGAGAGCTGGGAGAGACTCAGTGACTTGCACCAGGAGATGGGAGGGAGGGGCTTCTTCTATGATTTCTCCATTCTCTTGCTATAGGACTTTCAGTTTTCCGGCTGAATTTCTATATATACAAAATTATAGTCCTTCATAGGAAGGCAGTGTACCTCTTTCCTTTGCCCCTGATAGGTTCTCTATGCTATTACACTGCCTAGCAGAGTGCCTGGAACACAGTAGGTCCTCATATTTATGGAATGAATACAAGGTAGCACATAAAGATAGGAACAGGAAGTTATGTAAATATTCATTGGGAAATAACATCTGACTGTAACCAAATGGCTATTTTAGGAAATAAGATGTATTGAAGTAATGTAAGGCAATTACACATTAAAATTCATAATTTCTCAGCAAACATATCACATGAGATTGTGACATGAACTGCAAACAGAGCTGTTGGGGTGATAATGGGAAAATGCCAGAAATTTGTCTTGGCCCTTTTTTCGCTACCCCTAGTAACTCTCCCAGCATTGAGTACTTAAGAGCCTGTATTGCAGTTTCTTGGTCTCAGTAGCTCTTCCCGGGAGACCTGCCTCTGCCAGTCCCCGTCCCAATTCACCTCATTTGCTTTATCTCTGGAGAGATGTGCTCAGTTAAATGCCACTTCAGATTACTTGCCTTTTTAGAGAAAGTAAATTATTTACCTGGAAGACTCAGGCTTCTCCATCCCTTTTTGAAATAACTGAGAGAAAAATGATAAATAAGCAAAAAGTTAAAGTGACTCCAGTAGAATTTCCAGCAACAGGTAAATGGATGAGATACTCAGGCATCTCATGTCTAAAGCAGAATCCCTTGAAAAGGTGAGTTTATGTCATCAGATTATAATATCAAGTATATTTTTTAAACATATTAATACCAAAAGGTCATTCAAAGCTTTGTTTATTTTAGAGACTGACACACTAATGATGCAGAATGATGCCATAAAACACTTTACTATTAAGAAAGACTTGGCGGGGGAGGATATAGCTTCAGTTCAATCCCCAGGACCTCCATATAAATAAATAAATAAATAAATAAATAAATAAATAAATAAATAAATAAATAAATAAATAAATAAACAAACAAACAAACAAACAAACAAACAAGCAAGCAAGCAAGCAAGCAAGCCGGCCAGCCTAATTACCTCTCCCTGCAGAAAGAAAGAAAGAAAGAAACACTTAGGTGGTGTCATGTAGAAACTGAGAGCAGGAGCTTGAACCTTGACTCCTCTTGCCCATTATGGGGATCAAATGAGACAACAACTCTAAAGCTCTTAGCATAGTCATTCAGATTATATCATTTTTTTAGTTCAAGTATTTTCCCACAGCATAATTTCTTATCCTTCAAATAACAACTAGTATAGAACTTACAAACCACTCTGGTTAGAATAATATTCGGAAATGGGAGTTGGGGACAAAATTGAATCATTAATTTATCCAAGTTATGCAGTGTGTTTATTTTCTGTAAGAATGAGACACGCATTACTTTGCAGGCTCTCGAGAACTGCCTTCAGGAGCAGGCGCGGCTCAGAACCCAGGTGTACCTGCTTGAGACCCGGGTCAAACAGCAACAGGTCAAGATCGCACAGCTTTTGCAAGAGAAGGAACTCCAGTTCTTCGATAAAGGAGAGGAGAACAGTGTCATTGACCTTGGAGGCAAGAGGCAATACGCAGGTCAGAGTCTATTTTTCCCAAGTGTCTCAGTGACTTATGTAGCCATGTGCAATGACGGTGCAAGTTATTTCATCACTTGGGGTTTTGTTAAAGAGCTTTCCTATCCCAGTAACAAGCAACATGAAGAATTAAACCAAATTTAAATGTCTTCTCCTATATTTTACTTTTTTCTGTTATCTCTGCAGGGGGCATTTAATAGCAATGCTAGATATCTGAGAATTTCCGTAGTTTAATGAGATCACGACAATGGATTGTTTAAATATTAGTGTGCAAATGGCAGATTCTATTTGTGAAATTTTATAGCTGAGTTTTGTTTTTGTGTATCATATCTTGTTACATTTATATGTTTTTCCCTTCTGAAACCCTAATGTGTGGTTAGGATAGTAAATAAGATAATAGCATAAAAGGGCAGGTCAGAGGAAAGAATCAGAATTATTTAGGAAGATGAAAGAGCTGTTGTATGTGTATATTGTATGGTTTGGCCATTTTCCCTTTGATTAGGCCAATGTTTCTTCCTAGAAAAGAGAAATGATCTTAAACTGTTAACACATTGCACTTATCACTGCATGTATCATTATTCTCTATAGAAAACTATCCACCTGACTTCCTCCAGGCATCATTTAAAGTAAAGAAACAGTCATTGTCAGAAGTAGCGAGAATGACATCTGGAGCACTTTGTTTGTGTGTGTCTACTGTAGCCACTACCAGGATGTATTAAGATTTCCCTGTTTATGAGTCTATCTTGGTCAGTCAACTGGATACTTTTTTATAAGGTCTGGGATGATGTCTAATGCAGTCTCTCCTCCTTATTGCCCATCAGAGTGCATGGGACATAGTAGACCCTCATATTTATGAATGAAAGCAAGGTAATAATGGAGATAGGAATAGAAAGGTAAGCAACTCTAAATTGCGAACTATATCTGACTATAGTTGAGGACCTGTAGAGGCTAAAGAGATGCCAAGCCGATGAAAATAAAAGCATCTTTATTTTGTGTTTCTAAATATGCTTACCAGTGTTACATATCAGACTTTTGAGAATCTTAGAACCTATGCTTCAGTAAGATGCTCCCTTTTTCTCTCTTTACCGAGATCCTAATCTCTCTTTGCTCAGACTCTTTGCCCTGGGTTCTTGACTCTCTGTTGTCCAGCAACTTGATCCTTTGCCCTTGATCCTTAGAGTCCAACAGTCCTTCCCACCTTTAGGGAACAGAAGGAGTCCAGAGCCACTGTCCTGCAGCAGTGGGATTGGATACAAGTGAGGATGGCCTGTGGCTCTGGAGCATGGAAAGAGAGGAACCAAGAACTGCTCGGGTTAAAAATGGGCTTGAGAAATGAATGACTGAAGCAATCACGGGGCAGAGAATCAAGAAATGGAACCTAAGACGAGAATTACAGGGAAGATTAGGCAGTGAAAGAAAGCTCAGGAAAGCAATCGAACAGGAAGAGAATCAGTAGTAATTCCTTGAAGACAGTGATACTCAGAAGAATCACCTGGTGACCTTTAAAAATGCTGATGGGCTGCCAAGGTTTCATGGATGCTGGCAGAAGACAACAGACTCCTGGGTCAGAGACGTGAGCTTCATGGTTGCACCAGTGTCCACTGCCTGCAAATGCCAAGGGAGCGGTGTAGAATAATCCAGGTGGAAAATGTGCAGGCAGTGAGCTATGTCACAACTGAGGAGCCCTGAGCTTAGGAAACTTCAGTCTCTTGTGATAAGTTACGAGCAGATCTGCCCAGCCTTCTCCCAGAGGGAGAAGTTATCTTTAATATAGTGGGCAGCAAACAAACCTGCCGTCTGCTCTGAGGGGAACCACTATCTCTGTCTTCCCAAAGCTGTTCACGATGCAAACATCCTCGATAAAAATCCCCAAAACATAAGCTCTGTTTGCAAAATGTGCAGAAATGCAAGTGACTCATGGGAAACTCTATAAACAGTCCCTCAGTTCCGCTCCAGACCAATTAAGTTGTGATCCCTCCAGTGGGGGGAAAGGATTTGTGCTTTCCCTGCAGGTATGGATGAGATTGCTCAAGACCAGAACCAGACCAGGCTTCTCACCAAATTTCTTCCCGCAGGCTGAAAAAGTCCAAGGTCCCCTGAGGTCACATAATGGAGCTTTATTACTTTTCAGGTAGGAGGTAGGATCCTCGGCCACTTTGGTATCCTTTTTATTGGGTGTTTGGGACCTGGTTGTCATGTATTCAGATATCCACCCAGGAGGCTCCAGGTACCCATCCTGAGACTGCAGAAAGTATCAGTAAGACACATATTGGAGGGTAGGATCTCAGTGGGTTAGTTTGGTCAGTCATCGTGGAGGGCAGAAGTGATACACAGAGAAGAGGGTAAACAGCTTGGTCAAAAGGCCTTTTGATTGATCACTCTGTCTTATAGGCTGAATTGTGTCCCCCCAAGATACAGTTCAATTGTACTTTATTTTTCAGCATATACAAAAATAGTGCTAGAGAGCCTACCAAGGCCAAACACTCTATAAATAAAATATATAAAATAAATTCTAAAAAATACATATTTAACAAAATATATAATATTACATAAAATACGTAAAAATTTGCTCACACCAAAGTGTATGTTTTTGGTCTCCATAAATTAAAAAAAATTAAATATTCATGTCTATATCTATAGAAATAAATTTCTTATTTACAAGTTACTGTATTATTACTAAATCAGTTATTTTCTGCATTCAAATTCAACTCATGGTAGAAAACACCTAATTACATACAACCTAGCAATTTTTGAAAACAATGCATAAATCACATGATTTTTATGCAACATATAATTAAATATACTTTTAAAGCTTTTGGGTGTGATGGAATTATGTGCCTACATTGAAAGATTACAGTACCAAATTCACAATTGGTGACAATCACAATAGCCTTTGGCATCACATCTGCTCTGCCAATAAGACCACTCGTTTAACCACGTTCCCTTCTGCAGGAGCTCCCAGTCTTTATAAGACTGTTTCTCAAGGCAGTATGTGTAGTAGTTAAGGTCAAGAGTCTGAAGCCTGGATTCAAAGTCCAGCTGTCTGTCTTGCTAGCCATGGCCCTTGAGAAAGTTACTTGACCTCTGTGTGCCTCATATTCCTCATCTGTAAAATGGGAAAGTTAAGAGTGACTGTTTCTTTGTTGTAAAGATCAAATGAGTTAACACATGTAACATGATTACAGAAGCATTTCATATTTATAGCTCAATGAATGTCAGCCCTCTACCTACATTATCATATATCTTCTCTCCCTTGTTTTCAGAGAGAGCCCCACGTACCCTGCTCTACCCTACAAGAATACTGCAACTTCCTCTCTCTCCTCTTAAAGTTTCATCTTATGTTGCCTGAGGGTAAGGATGGCAGTGGTAGGGCTGATTCTGGCATTTCCCAGAATGCTCTGTGGAGTGGCAACTGCACTCAGGCTGGCCTTTCTCTGAGTTTAGAGTGTAGGGAACCGAGTGCCTTTGGTTCTCAGCCTTGGGCTCAGCTATCATTCTGAAACAGGAAGGAAAAGCTCATTTGGCAGGCTGTCATTTCATTTTATGAAGCGTCAACACTGGGCCTTCCAATGTGACTTGCTTCCTGCATGATCAGGGATAGTATTCACGTATCCAGTTCAGCACAGTCTTTGTCCATCAGAGAGCAGGAAGCCTTGGCCTCACTCTAGCATTATGTAAGTATCTAAAAATCCCCCCCTCTTTTTTTTTTAATTCCCGTGAACCTAGGGCTCTCTAACCCTGCTCCTCTCCTGCCTACTCTCCAGGGGGTGAGTGGGTCAAAACATTTTGAAAAATCATAGTTTTAACTATCTAGTTGATATTTTAAACCCTACATTGCTTAAAGTTTCTATCACACTGTAAGTCACATTTACCCAAGACACGTTTCTGTACTTATTTGCTATAAGCAATTGAGCTACTGGCACTTTTTTGATATTTATTTGTCGGGTTTTTGTTTTTGTTTTTTCAGTTGAAAGCTTTCTGCTGGATCTTGAGTTGTGTTTGGCATTTTCCTCTGGGATGAAGAAAATTTTTTTAAAAACTGAAATGAACTTGGAGTTGGCATAAAATAAAAACAAGTAGTAAATGTTGGCTGAAAACTCCATATTCACGGAGTTTTCCAGAGGCAAATGTTATAGCTAATCTTTTCCACATTTGCTTGTCTGAACCTTTGAGTTTGTACCATTCAGCTCTTTGGTGGGTGATTAAATGCAAGCAAAGAGCTCCTTTCCTAACAAGGTTAAAATCGGCTTACTTTAATGAAAAAGTGTGCAATATACTTGACCATAAGATGTAAGCTTTTGAACAGCATGGAACTAATTTTAGAATCATTTTCCTATTGTTTTTCTTCTTGTTTAATGGCCAAAATAGGATTTTTTTTTAAAAGTAATCCAGCATATATAAAGAACTCTTGGGCTTCTAAATCTCAAAAATAAATGTATGAATAAAGCCTAAATCATTAATAAGATGAACATCTCACCAAAGCAGTAGTATATGAATAGTCTCAGCTTGGTAAGTTTAGAAAATGACTACGGTTCTTTATTTTCTTTTCTCTTGTAATTCTTATTGCCTACTCAATCTAATGTGGAGTATGTTTTATTTGTAACAAAATTGTTATAGGCAATTTGGTATCAAAACAATGAAATTGAAGAAAAAACTCAAAAATAAGCTAAAAGAATGGAATTATCCAATCAGGAAGAGAAATTTTTTATTAGGTATAATTGAACATACAACGTTATATTAGTTTCTGGTATACAACATACTGATTTGATATTTGTATATTGTGAAGTGATCACCACAGTAATTCTAGTTAACATCCATCACCATACCTGGTTATAGAATTGTAGAAAATATTTTTTTTTTAAAAGGAAGGAAATGAACAAAATGATACGGGTAAAATTTGAAAGTTAGTGATGTTAAATTCTAGTGTTTTTATTCAAAAGGCTGTGACTGAGTATCCTTGCAGCTCTCTCTTTATAGTGGCCACGAATTCAACCACCCTAAAACAGAGCTTCCTGGACACTAAACAGCAGTGACTCCATACCTGCCATATTCTCTAAGTCTATATAGATCAGCCCAGATGAGACCCAGTGGGTATTAATTTATCCCAGCCTCAAGTGGTTTAAGAAACAAATACTACTCTTTGGTGACAAATTGGTAGCTATGTTTGCTTCAGTGGTTAAAGAAATACCATGGGAAAGAAGACTGGGGGGTCAAATAGTAGAAGCTTGCAGTTCTTAACAAAAACATCTAAGAATGCATGGACTGTTAGAAATTTCAGTGGGTTAGTAAAAAAAAATCTGCTGAGCCTGGAAGGTTATAAGAATCTAACAAGATTACTATTTTGAGTTCATTTCCAGATGTTCAGAATGATTTATAATGTTCTAAGTAAAGACAATCCATATTAAATTGTTTTCTGTTATATTTCTACTTTCATTTTAGCTTCATAGGAGAGAAAAGTTCCGCTGTTCTGTCTAATAAAGCTGTAATTTCCACTTAAATATTCTGTGATTAACTGAAACATAGATATCTTTAAATGTTTTCTTCAAAAATCAGAAATGAGGAACCAGATACCTATTTCCCTCCTTTCTTCCCCCCATGATCATTTCAAGAACTCAGATGATAATTAAATACTAAATGCTAGAAAAACAGATAAGAATTTCCTAATATCCACTGGAAGACGTACAAGATTCAGTTTCAAAAAGCTGATTATCTGCATCATGTGTTTTATCTGTCTCCATTAGTACTGAGTAATCTCATGCAGAGACTCCTATTAAAAAAAAAAAGACATGACAAATTTCACATTACCTTGTTTTGGAAACAGATTGTTCAGAGATTTTCAACGATGGATATAAGCAGAGTGGATTTTACAAAATCAAACCTCTCCAGAGCCCAGTGGAATTCTCTGTTTATTGTGACATGTCTGATGGAGGAGGATGGACTGTGATTCAAAGGCGATCTGATGGCAGTGAGAACTTTAACAGGTATGCTAATTATAACATAAGAATTTATTTGGAGTAGGAAATGTGAGATTTGTACTAAAGTTAAGCCTTCTTATATCTTGAAGTCTATTAATTAGACAGAATTTCACTCTAAATAAGAATAGTGAAAGTACATTAACTAATCAAGAAAATATTGGGGGTAGGGATGGGAGTGGGGTATGCTCACCCTGGGTACTGCAAAGGTGCATTTGGATTTTATTAAAGTCAGCTTTCACTTTAAATTTTTTAGAGACTGGAATGACTATGAAAATGGTTTTGGAAATTTTGTCCAAAAAAATGGTGAATATTGGCTGGGTAATAAGAATCTTCACTTACTGACCACACAAGGTAAGGTTTGCCTGATATCAAGTTCATTCAAAATATGATTAAAAGAACATTAAAATGTTTTTCACTGAATTCTAGACAATGTATCTAATTTGGCAATTACTATGATTTACAGGTGGCTGTGATCCCTTTTGGTCAATAATCCCCTTTGTAAAATGTGGCTGCTTAAAACTAGGAATGGAGGAAAGGAAACTAGACCTGGGTTGTGGGTAGAGGATTTCTCATACATATTTTTTCTATTTCTAGGATGGAAATCTAATGTCATAATTATCCTTTTTTTAATGCCTTGACTACCTCAAAACATATATATTGCATCAGTTATCTATTGGCACAATAATACTGTGTAACAAGCCACTTAAAAATGTAGTGGCTTAAAAGAACCATTTATTATTTTTCACAAATTCTACATGTTGGGTAGGTGGTTTTGCTCATCAGGGATGGGCTCTGCTGATCTTGGCTGGGCTTGCTCATGGGTTCATGATCAACTTCCCAGTCAACTGGAAGCTGACTATTCTAGGTTGGCCTCAGATAGAATGGCTCAGCTCTGCTCCACACAGTCTCTCCTCTTCCAGCTAGCTAGTCTGGACTTCTTGAAGCAGAGGCAGAGTTTCAAGAAAGAGGGTGGAAGCACATAACTTTCTTGAGACCCAGACTCAGAACTGGCACACACTCATTTTCACTGCCTTCTGTTGGAGAACGTAAGTCACAGGACTAGCTCAGATGTAAGGGGAAAGGAAATAGACTCAGTGGGAGGGAGTTAGTTACAAAGTCAGGTTGCAAAGGGAAAGAAGAGCTCTGGGGCATTAGGGCTGATTTCACAATCAAATAATATACTAAAGGTTTTTGTTCCCTTCCCCTTCCAAATTTTGTATGGAAAAATTTCCAAGATACAGCAAAACTGGAAGAAATTTTAACCTACCACCTAGATTTTACATTCACATTTTAGTTGCATATCTATCCATCTATCCATCATCAATCTACTGTTTTTGGACACATTTCAAAGTAAACTGCAGACACTGTACAATTCCACCATGTGCTTTTACATGGATATCTTTAACTAGAGTTCAGTATTTGTCTGAAATATCGTTAGTTTAATAAGAGATTTTCCAAGCTTCTCTTTCCCATGTTCTTTTGCTCCAATCCATTGCCTTCCTTACTTCAGTTGCTATTTGTAATTGTAGTCAGTTCCACTCAAATCTGATTCTTAATGTTTCATAAAAGGCAGTTGTATTGCTCAAGAAAGCATGCTATATCACACTGAAAAGGCACTAAATGTAACAGCGAAGATTCATTTGTTCCATCCAAGCTAAGGAAAATGATTAGTGTTTCTATATTCATAGTAGTCAGTAAAATTATAATTATAGAAATCTTTGAGAAACTAGAATAGTAAATTAGAGAGGATAGATAACTCTAGGAGTCTAATGCTGTCTTTGCCCTTCTTGTGATCAATGTTCTCTGAATTTCAATGTATTTATTATCCTACTTTGAAGTGTTTTATGGTAGATGTAAAACATTTACTATACCAGCTTCTGTTTCTTTCACACATTAAGATGCATCTGGTTTCCTACTGAAACTATGAAAACCCCAGGAAGTAACCTTTGACTTCTAAACATACAAAATTCAAACTTATTATTTTTCAAATTATTATTGTTTATTCACCCAGATGCTTTGCCAAAACATCCGCTTTCCCTTCATGTTTTGATTGGTGTTTCAGGCTGGCTACTGTCATGGTAGCAAAAATTTATTCATCAGTTCCAGGCTTCACAACTGCATATCACATAATCCCAAGGAAAAACAGTCCCTTTGTCTCTGTATTCTTTAATCAAGAGAGCATTTAAGGAAGGAATTGCCTCTAAAATAGCTTTATCCCCCTTATATGAATTTTGGCTGGAAGTGTTTGCAATAAAATTAAGTTAGAAATGGTCTGTAATTGCATTTTTATTTACTCTTTGACCAAAGAGCTATTTAGATAGTTACCTAAAATTTTGAATCTCTTCTATAATACAAAGTACTTTTTAGGAGTGTTGACTTAGTCTATGTACTGCTTCCATCCACTTCACGGCCTTAGCTCACATAACCTTTACTATCTTTTGATCAGATTAAGGGGACCTCTTTCTTGGAACTCCACTTTAGAGAGTTCTGTGAAACAAGGAATCTGTGGGACCAAAGTGTCACAGCCAACAGGAGCCCACAGCCCTCCTAAACTCTCTCCAGTGATGGGGAATCTAGCAATCCCTGCTCAAGATGCCTTGAGCTTGTCTCCAGGACCAGTTCATGCCTCTTCTTCATCTGTCCCCCTGCGGGAAAGTTGTGCAGCTGGAGTATGTGCCCCTAAGTCTGAGGGGAGGTGAAGGAACAGCTTTTATTGGGGGTGTAAACAGAGCTTGGGTTGGGGTAGGTATAGCTCAGTGACAGAATGTGTGCCTAGCATGCACTACATCCTGGGTTCAATCCCCAGTACCTCCAATAAAAAAACAAACAAAAAAACCCCACCACTCCTAACAGCATGTGAGTGTACAGCCTGGAATGTCTACAAATGCGGACAAGGCCCCTTGCTATGTGTGATGATATGGGGGTGGGAAGAGAAGAGGGGCAGATCACCGACTAGGCCTGCGTGATGGGCCTTCACGTGCCAGCTTGGAGCTAGAAGGAAACTGAGACTCTAAATTCAAATCTGGTCTTACAGGTCACTGTGAAATTTTATTTATCAAAGGAGGAGGATACAACATATATTATCTAACATTTAGTTTGACTTGTAACTTTTTATGTTCCTGATAATAGTTCTGTTTTTGAAAAAAGAATAATCTTTGTTATTTGCAAATGATGGGACAATGAAGAAAAGATGATTATTTAACGATTCAACTATTTCAGTCGATTATATTTAAGATCAACATTCTTAATCAAATGTAAGAAAAAGAGGATAAATATTTAAACTTATTAAAACTTCTATACTTCTATTATTAGATTTCTTAATCTGTTGAGTAAATAATGACTTGTTTTCTGTTGTTCTTTGCCAAGTGAATGACACTAATTTTTAACCTATGATGGATCCGGTAGAAATTTTCTGTCTTTAATATTGCATCCTTAATTTTTTTCAAGTAAAATACACAATAACGTTTTCTTGTTGTAAATATAGTGGAGTCACTGTTTATTCTTTGAAAACTGATTCATGGCAGAAGGAAATGGTCTAAGTAAAATAGAACCATAGATTGTTTTTAAGCCTCAGTGAATCAATTTTGTCTCATATGTTAAAAAAAAAAACTATGATTTCTTGTTTGTTTTTTCAGGAGACTACACGTTAAAAATTGACCTTGCAGATTTTGAAAGAAATAGTCGTTATGCACAATATAAAAATTTCAAAGTTGGAGATGAAAAGGTACTAAAAATTTCAAATAAGTAACACCATGAATTAATGTGTAAAACGTACAATATAAAACCTGAAGTCAGTGGAAAAAAAGTGCACAATAGAACCTATTTTTTTGTTTAAAATAAATAAATCTGTTTTAAAATGGTGACAACTGATAACGGAAGTCTCCTGTTTTCCTTTAGAATTCCTATGAGTTGCATTTTGGGGAATATTCTGGAACAGCTGGAGACTCCCTTGCAGGGAATTTTCATCCCGAGGTGCAATGGTGGGCTAGTCACCAAAGAATGAAATTCAGCACATGGGACAGAGATAATGACAACTACGAAGGGAACTGTGCAAAAGAGGATCAGTCCGGCTGGTGGTTTAACAGGTTTGACGTTTTACAAACATAATTGTAATGGCGTTGATGATATCTCATTGATGGGCATTAATTATAATATATGAGGTAATGAGGTCTTCTTTGTAATACTGGTATTATTAAGTAATCATCCTTATTAGAATTCTTCAGTGATGAAGTAGTTTTGAAGATTTGTTCATTGTGTACATTAGTAAAGCCTGAAAGACATGTCACAGACATAAATCAAATTACTGCTTTTACAAAGATTGTTTACAAACTGAATTATGGTGAGTTCTCATAAATAGTGGGTTAACAAATTGACACAAAGAAATAGCATTTTTGACGTTTTAAAAAATATATTTTGTTCCTATTGAAGGGTTTATTCACAGTCAGCACTTTAAAATCAGGCATTTAAAATTAAAGGCCAAAATTTAAAAAAACACAAAACTTCAAAAAATCTGCAAATATGACACTACTAAAAGAATGATCATCTTAATAATTTAATCCTAAAATGTCCTGTGGAGTTAGCGTCTTAATTCATACGTGTAAGATTGATGTCATTTAAAATAAACAACTGAAAAACCACTTATCAAGGGCAAATTTGTTGAAGATAAACATCAGTTTCAGCCTTCCAGGGTACAGAGAGTGAAGCTCTTCACCTTCTCCCAGCATATGAAATGGCCGTGTTATTGTTGTAAATTTTTCTGTGTAATACTGTTTTTCAAGTACTGTGACTTTTATTAAATCATTGAATCCAAGCTCCTCCAATTTCTTCTACAACATTCCTGAAACCTAACTCCACCTTCTGATTGAATACTTCAGTGTTACTTTATCAGCAAGCTCAATCCGTTTTTGATTGCACCAAGTTTTTCCTTTTATTAACCTGAAATCTGCCTTCTTAATACTTCCCAGTTTGGTTTTTTTTTCCCCTCAGTAGCTGCAGAGTAATTGTGATTCCTTTTCAACATAACTCTTCAGGCGCTGGATGAGAAGATGCTTATTGTATTATTCCTCAATACGTTCTCTTCTCGAGGCCGGGTAGTGCTCTTTCCTTTAACTGTTCTCCACCCAAGATGGTTTCCAGACAAAGTAAAGGCAGGAATGGAAAATTCATACAGTCTTTCTTAAAAATAACCTGAGAAGCCTGCTGTGTCTGCAAAACAGATGTGTTCAAACCATTAGGCAGTGCATGAGCTTTGAACATCTTCCCTTTTCCTTAGCAGGCAGGGACCACCTCAAAATAGCTGGACATTTAAATTTCCATTACAGAATCTTTAATGAGTATTTCTGGAGTGCCGAGTTTTCCATGTAATTGTAGATTAATTATTTAAATTCCACAATCCAAATTTTAACATTTTTTAAATTATGTAAGTACTTTTATGGCACTTAAGAATCCTCTATTTCATTAAGTGGAGGTATACCAGACATCTGTTTATTTTCCCTAAAATGATGAGACCTCTCACTATGACCATCGTCCATTAACGTGATACGCTGATTTTACAGCTGTAGCTTTAATGGAGATAGAGCTGTTTGTATGTAGTGTGGTGTGTGAGGTTGAATCTAAGTCGTTCTAAAAATACTGCCTTCTCTGGGTTTTGTTTTTTGCAGTTTGAGTTCATTTAATTTTTGGTAATTTGTCAGGGAAGAGGAGCACATACAGCAGTGAGAGAGGACAGAGAAAGGGTATGATCTTTCCTACTAGCAAATCAAAGATGGTGACAGTCTTCCCTAGAGGTTTTCTCGTTCTCTTAAAAGCCATTTTCCTGTTGAAAGTCAGCCCTCGACACAAGGGTTTGTTATATTTAAAAAAAAAAAAAGCCATCTTCATCACCTTCTCATCCTCCTCCTTTTTCTTCCCCTGTCCTTCTAAGTTAGCATTTGTAAAAACTATCAGCATTAGGAAAAACTTATCTATAATTCACAAAGTTGCAAGCACCCCTTAATGTTTGGTTTGGAACACAATACCACATACAGAAATAACAACCATGTTGGTTCATATTACCAGATCAAAACCATGAACCTACCCAATTGAGTAACAACAGTACACATATTAACAATGGGAAATTTAAGTGATTTACTTGACTTTAAAGTCAGGGTTTCATGGAGGACAAAGAAAGGCAATTCAGTAGGTGGAGCCACCCAGGAAGCCTGCATCATCCTTGGAGTCAAGGAAAACGTTAAGGCTGTGCAGGTGGAAAAAATCAGAAAATCTAGAAAAAAAAAAGTCAATTGTTCCAGAAGCTCAGTGCTGCTTCTAACCATGCCTGCTACTACTGTAGTTTACCTCGGTCATCCTCTTCCTCCTCATTATTTTTTCTTCCGTACCATAGTTCTTTCAGTTTACATGAAATCTTGGCATCTCATAAATATTACCCACCTACAAAGGTGTTTCTCCACACAGCAAACCCCAATCACTGAGTGTTGATGTCGTCTCTGCTCTGCTGGTGCAGCATGCTCACAGATCCTTCTTCACCAAGGGCGCCCCAGTCATCCCCTAGTCTAGCTTCGAGTCCAGGCTGTTCTAGAGCCTGGAAGATGCTGGAAGATTGGTGTTAGAATTGCTAATGCTCCCTACGTTGACCAGAGTCAGTTTCCTAATGGGATTCATTTGTAATAGATGACTCTAGTAAGACAGTGATATGTCAGAATATATATTCTGGAGGCCCAATTTAGGGTGTTTTCTCTTTTCATGTTACTTTCCATGCAATTTTAAAAACACAGTAGGCTCTTAACACTTGCAGATTCAGCATGCATGCTTTCGATTAGTTAAAAGGACTGGCAGGATGGTTAGCAGGAGAGAATCACTCGGCTGGTAAGTGATTCAAGCCAACCACTCAGCTTTTATGGGTAAATTATACACCTTTTTAAATTCAAAATTTAGGTGCTTTCCATAGATTTTTCAGAACTGAGCCTTGGGAATGTTCTTCTTCTGTACTAATGCCTGACATCGTTTTGTTAGTTATAGCAATAAAAAAAAAATCAGTAGAGAAATAGTAAGTCCTTTCACAACAGTACGTGGAAAATTATCACCTACTCTTACCTTATCCATATCAGGGACAAAATTTACAGATTCCAAAGGAGGAAAGACGCCATTTAAAAATTTATGAGAACCTAACCATGGGTTAACCTAGCCGTTCTCTAGATGGGAGCAGTATATGTAAAAGATTAGCTCAGCCACTCAGACAAATGATTATTGGTTGATGGCTGGCAAGACTTTAAATGGTGGTTTATGTTTTGTTTTCTTATCCTTGAGGTTAAGATAATTGATATGCTAGTGATTTCTGAGGGGAGGGAAGGAGTTTGAATGATGGAAGCTAAGTCTTGGCAGTGGAGGGGTGAACACTATGAGGATAAATGACCCGGGGAAGCTGGCCCCTGAGCAGAGTGCCACGCCTGGGCCCCTTCACCCACACCAAGCTGCCGAGGCTTGGGGTTACAAGCCAGGATTTTGTTTGCTTGCTTTTCTCTCTTTTTTTCTTCTTTCTTTGTTTAAAGGCTGTTAAGAACAGAACTGCTTCTTTATCAATAATGTACAAGTGGCCTGGGTTGTGTCCTGAGAGTTATGGCACTGAAACCCACCAGTTTAACAAACTCATCTGTTGTAGAAATCTCGTGGCTTCTGTAAACTGATAAATAGCCCCTTTTCTAGAAATGGCAGAGTTTCATAGTGAAAAGGTTTTCAATCATTTGCTAGCAAAATAAAAGCATTTCGAAGGATGTTTTTCTAGTCTGATTGTTCTGTGTTTATTTTTCCTCCCACTAGGTGTCACTCTGCAAACCTGAATGGTTTATACCACAGCGGCCCCTACACGGCTAACACAGACAATGGCGTTGTCTGGCACACCTGGCATGGATGGTGGTATTCTTTGAAATCTGTGGTTATGAAAATTAGGCCAAATGATTTTATTCCAAATGTTGTTTAATTGTCCCTGTTGGGCTTTTGCTTCTGCAATTCATCTTGGCTTTAGTGATTTGAGAAGTAGTAATTCTGAACACTTACATGTGTGATGACGACAAATGGTACATGCACTACATTTCAGTCTTACTTGCCTTTATTACTTAATGTACTTCCAGCACAGCAAATATGTGATACTCACCAAATAAATATAGATTATGTTAATATTTATCAGATTCCTGTGTGCAAAGGGCTATGATGAGAGATTACGTTCGAACAAAAAATAAAAAGCATAGAGTACTTTCATGACTTGGGAGATAATACAGCATACATGCATAGTAAATTGAGTATGAATGCCGTTGTGAAAAACACATGAAAAAATCCAGCAGATAGTGGATTGCTAACTCAACTGCATTATGAGTTGGAAATGAAGTCAGGTCTCTGACTGCAGAGCTGGAACTCTTAAATACAACCTAGGACCTTAATCACTAAAAAACACTATGTCTTATTTTTAGGATGTTTATGTAGATTATACACTTCTTTCAGAAGCCACATTTTAATTGTCATAGCTGTCCTAGAATGAGAACCCCGGGCTGAGAATCTGTGGAGCTGAGATTTCGTGACTGCTGAAAGTGACAAAGCTAGTAGGTAGGATAACAAGGACTCAGATCCAAGTCTTCTGATGCTCAATCAGACATTTTGCACCCATAGTACAGCTTTCTTTGGCATGTGTCAGGCACAGAGGACACACTCCAAGCCCACACGAAGCTAGTTTTTTGGATAATGACATACACTAACCATGAAAATCACAAAAATAAATAATTCTAAAAGCTGGTAAGTATGAAGGAAAAATATGTGCCTAGGGGATGTAGAGCAGGGACCTCACCTGTCTTGGGGGAAGAAGATCAGAGAAGTTTCCTGAAAGAACTTTTTGAGCTGAAATCCTTTAACTAGGTGTATGTGGGAAATCATTGCAGGCAGAGGGAAACCCTTGTGTAAAATACACAGAGCAGGAAAGTGCATGAAAACAAAAACAGTTTAGAGGGGCAATAAAGTTTAGTGATCCTTAAATCCTTAAACCAAGGATTCTGCAACTTATCAGCTCTGTGACCTTGGGTAGGTGACTTAACTTCTCTGAGCCTCAGTAATCTCATCTGTAAAAAGATTATAATAGCACCTGCCTCATGGGGTTGGGTTGAAGGATTATATGAGTAAAGTACTTAGAATAATGCCTTGCACAAAGTAAGCAGTCAATAAGAACTTGCTGCAATTATGAGTGAATTGGCATTAAGGGGTAATTATAGTAGATGTCTTGAAACAATGAGTCACATAAAGATATTAAGGCTAGTTGTACTTTACCCTCTAAACAGTGCTTCCCAAAGCAGTGTTTCTCAAATTTTAATGTCATACAAATCACCGGGGCATCTTGTTAAAATGATTCTGGAGTGGGGCCTAAGAGTCTAGTTGTTTAACACGTTCCAGATGATGCAGATATTGCTCTTCTAGAGCTCACACTTCGAAAAATAATCATGTAGGGAACCATAGTTCTGGGGATATTAATAGTTAATACAGGAAAAAAAGCGCTCCTTGATCAAATGAGTTTAGGAGATGATGGAGTAAACAAAATTCAACAGATTTCTTCTCTCGAGTATTTCTTGGGTCCTTTTATATTACGTGCATTCTGAAGTTCCAAGAGAGAATTCCGCACCCCACCTCCGCCTCATATCTGCAGTTTCCCTTTCAGAGGTTTCAGTTACCCTCGGTCAACCATGGTCTGAAAATTTTAAATAGGTAATTTCAGAAGTAAACAAGTTGTAAGTTTTAAATTACACAACTTTGGAGTAGCGTGGTGAAATCTCGCGTGCATCTGCTCCGACCCGCGCCGGATGTAAATCTTCCCTTTATCCGTCGTATCCCACCTGTTACTTAGTAGCCACCTCAGTATCAGATCAACTCTGTGTACCACACCGCAATGCTTGTGCTGCAATTCAGGCAACCCTTATTTTACTTAATAATGGCGCTGGAGCTCAAGAGTGGCGACGCTGGCAATTCAGATACACCGAAGAGACCGTAAAAAGGTGAAAGCGCTGGACTTAATGAGGAAAGGAGAAAAATCATATGCTGAGGTTGCTAAGACCCACGGTAAGAACATGTCTCCTTTCCGTGAAATAGTGAAAAAGTAAAAAGAAATTTGTGTTTTGCTGTCACACCTCAGACTGCAAAAGTTACAGCCACAGTGCATGGTGTGTGCTTAGTAAAGATGGAAAAGGCATTAAACGTGTACGGTAAAAGATTTTGATAGATGGAGAGCCAGCGTTCACATAACTTTTATTACAGTGTGTTGTTATTTTACTTTAAGTTATTGTTAATCTCTTATTGTGCCTGATTTATAAATTAAACTTTGTCGTAGGTATGTATGTATGTATAGGAAAAAACACAGTATAATACAGGGTTCGGTACTGTCGGCAGTTTCAGGCATCCACTGAGGGTCTTTGAATATATTCCCCACAGATGGGAGGGGAACCAGTGTTGCATTCTTAGATCTGGTTAGGAGTGTGTTCAGCTGTAAGATGTAAACCACCTGATTATGGAAGTCCAGATGAGTAGGGATTTGTTCATCTTATGCAACAAGAACTCAGGAGGCGGGAGTTTGCTGGCCTAGGTTCAGTCCTTTGCTGTGTGGAAGCTGCTATCTCTGCAACTCACTTTGCCCTTCCTTCAAAATCACACGTTGTCTACTGCAGCTCCTGCTCTGAGTCCATATAGAAAGCAGAAAGAAGGGTGAAGGGTCAATACGCTTCAGTTTATGCCTTATTGGGCAGAAATACATCATGTAGTTATTGGAAGGTTATGAACAAAAATACTTAATTTTATAGTCTCTAGAATGTACAGGTGAGAAAAGTGTTTGCCATGGTTTCTGAACTTTTAAAATAATGCAGTCTTGTGGGAACAGTTCCATAGATCACACTTTGGGAAGGTATAGATAATGGGGCACCAGTGGCAATTTTAAATACGGGTATTATTTGCTCAAGTAGTAGCATGAAGACCTTATGCAATTAGATCAAAAGAAGAAAAGCTTTAAAGGAGAAAAATGATTTTACAGAGAAATGGGAGGGGAGCTACACAGTATAGTATTACATAAATCTTCATAAAATAGTTTTTCAATGCAGAAGGAATGAAAAAAGAATTTTAATGCCATAAAAATATGGAAGAAAAAGAGTTCTAATGAAAGACCTTTGGATTTGGTAATAATGTTTTTTTGTGTCCTTAAGCCCACTTCAGTGGGCTAGTGGGGAGAATAGCTGTGCAGGAAATAAAAGCAGTTGGAGAGAATAGATAGGTCATTGGACGAGTTTAGATGTGAGAGGGAAATTGGACTAGTTTACCTGAAGTCACAACATCTGGAAGACCCAGTTGAAACAAATCCCTCTTAAATTTTACCATTAGAGAGTTATTTTTCAGGCTTTACCACTTTTTAAAATGCAAATACACTTTTAATTTATATTAAGTGATTATGCATTATTCCCAACAAACTCATGAGTCTTTTTTTAAAAGAATAAAACAAAATATACAGAAAATGTGGGGGTAGGGTTAATAGCTCAGTAGTAGTCCTGAGTTCAACCCCCAGTACCTCCATTAAGGGTGGAGGAGAAGCAAAATATAAAGAAAATGCAAGAATGTTTAATATCTGACATCGTTACAGAAGAGGTTTCTACCAAGAGACAAATGGTATTGTTAAGAAAAGGCGGGGGGTTGTTCCTGAAAGTACGAACTTTACAGAATTTCCAAAGATCTACAGTTTCAGAAAGGATGCAAATCATGAAACCAAGATCCAAGCATACAGTCCATAATCTATTGTTTGGCCAGCACAAAATTAGTTGGGGAGAAAGACAAGACAACATATAGGCAGTTACTCAGTACCAAACGATAGACAACATGGTTTAATGTTTAGCCATTGCCCAAGAAGACTGCAGTCTGACTATCTGGAGTTTAAATGTTATTTTTGCATTTTTTTAGACGACAAATTACTTTACATCTCTGTGCTGCGTTCTCATCTCTAAAATATGAATAATAATATAGCTATTCTATCGTGGTGTTTTGAGGATTAAATGAGATAATACTGTGCTTGGTGCATACTAAGTGCTGCGTGAATATTCAATGTTGGCAGTGCTGGTGCTGATGAAGAAGTGGGGGTAAAAAGGGCACGTGATAATGGGGAACTGGAGTGCTGCGTGATGTTCACCGAGAGCTGAAGGTGTGAGCAGACAGACGGTCAGAGAAGGTTTTCCAGGCAAGATAACGGATAAAATGAATTATGACTCTGGATACGCTGTTTCTTTAAGAGCGCCATAGTCCAGGTTCTTAATATTACTGGATTTGAAAATGCTAAAAAAATTTGAGAATGAAACCTGGTTTACAGACGGTCTGGTCCCATGCTCTCTAAATGGGCTCAGGGGAGCCTGATGACATGCCTCAGGGTCACTGCGGGGAACAGGGAGCTTTCCCCTGTCTTTTTTCATTTGACACAGCTGTTTTTTATCTATTTTATGTATTTGGGTTCCATATAACAATTTGCTATGTGTTATGTTTTTGTTTGGGGAGGAAAAGAAAGCTTTTCATCTCTAAAAGTTGGTTTAGACCTCTTCCTTCATTTTGTAGATGAAGACATTTTCTGCATTTTTCAGAGGACAGGTACTTCTGGGAAGGACTTCTTTACTCCCTTGATTCAGATGAATAAACAAGCATTTTAAACCCAAGACTGTACGTTGTGTTCTAATGAATGTCAGCACTTCATTTAGCACCCTGCCTTAAAAAGCCTGTGCACCCAGTAAAAACTATGCTCCACGGTGGGCAAATTCACGAAGAGCTGCAACCTTACAGAGGGAATAAAAGAGGGAATCAGGCATTCTGTCGGAACAAGCCAACTTCGTCTCAACGCAGAAAATGATACAGGGTATTGTATCCTTAACTCCTGGGGTGTTGGCACCATTGGCAGTTTCTAGGCCTTTCTAATTATAGATGTGCTGTGTAACATTGCCTCCACCTGCACCTCTAACAATAACAATATTCAGCACTTAGCATTGTCAAAGACCTTTCCAGCTTGAACTAATTAATTCACACAATTCCAACCATCTGGGACAGACAGTACTATTATCCAGGTTTTACAGACACAGAAAACTTCAAAAGAGGTTTCTCCAAGGTCATATAGCAATTGGAATGGGGCCAGGAGTGTACCTTAGAAGTTCTAGGCTTTTTAGTTTATTGGAAGATGACCTTACTAAACAGTTTAGATTTAGGGGTAATTTGATTTTTTTTTTCCTTCAGGGTGCTAAACAGATACCCCTTTGTTGGATACTAGCTCACTGTGGCTTCTCTCCTGAAGGAATGATTATACCCTTAGAAATGACCATGCAGGTCATAATTCTTTGGAAGACCAGGTAGTTTTGCAGCTCTTAAAGGTGGCTAACATATGCCAGCTGTTTCATCTCTTTCACTCTTCTCCTTTAATTACACCTACCGTATCTCTTTTCAGTTGAGTGATGCTAGAACACAGAGCTCTTGAAATGTAAAATGAAACCTCAGAAAAGTCAGCTAGTTACAAAGGCTTCTCTGTCCTTTTCTGGTGACCAACTAACTAATTGAGAGTCTTAGGAATCCCATACTCTGCAAAGAAGGCCCTTTAGAGATAATATCAGCTTTTTAATCACTAATTTAAAAAAAAGATTAAAAATAACTGATGTTTCCCTAGTTAGGAGAAAGTTAAATCTGAAAGAACACTAATTGGCTCACTGGTGGAAAATCATTGTTCCCTTGCAACTTTTGTCCTATTCTAACAGTTGTGGTTTGAAAGAGTATTATATCCTCCTGTATTCATTCACGTTGAAGAGGCAGGAAATCACATACTTAAAAAAAAAAAATTTCTGAAAAATCAAAAGCTGGTAGACTTTTATCTCGGCAATGATTATGCAAAATAATGACAAATTAGAATGAAATATTAACAGGAGTTCCATGTTGACTCAGAGACCAGTAGCACCAGGAAAAAAAAATTCTGAAAACTTTCAGAATATATAAGGAATTTGGTGAATATGATTAAAAACTTTTTCTAAAAAGAGATCTTTTGAAATCTAGGTTCAAAGAACATCTGCGTATTGTTTGTATGTGAGTCAGCATGTAGTAGGGTGTGTAACTCCGAGGAGCTAGGAGTTTGGAAGGACCATGTGTTTTACTTTCAAGGCTGTTTTTAATATCAAGCTGTTGGCCTGGGCCACTTACTTTTTAACAAGTATGTAAACAAATCTGATTCACCGTGAGGTTTAAAGGTCCTTGGTGTGGCTCCTCAATACTCTTGTCATTCAGAGAAGCTAAGCAGTTTGCTATCTTAGTTTTTTTTCTTTCTTTCTTTTTTGTTTTTGATGGAAGTACTGAGGATTGAACCCAGGACCTTGTGCCTGCCAGCCATGTGCTCTACCACTGAGCTATACTCCTCCCCCTTTGACATCTTAGTTTTAGTTCAAGGATAAGCTTCCAGGATGAACCTCAACATGATAAAAGTGTATGTGAAAAGTTCAACCCTATAGTCTCATCCAGTTTTCTGAAACAAAGCAAGAAAGCAGTCCCTTAGTGATGATCACAGCATACAGGTGGCTATCAGGGGTCTCCTGAGATCCTTCCTGAGCCTCTTGAGGATCAGATGTCCCGAGGCAGGATGCTTACACAGTGTGGTGCACTCCCCACACTCATTCCTTCAGTCAGCAAGCCTGGACCAGACTACCTCCCAAAGGGGTGTGAGTGCCAGCTGTCTCTCTCTGTTTCATGATTTAACAAAGAACTGATCCCTGGAGCCCTTTGGTCACTGCAGTTTTTGCATGAGAAAATGTGCATCTGGGCAGCAGTTAGGGTGTCATACCACTTCTCTTTATACCACGCTTCACTGTCATCCAAAACTTCCTGAAAAAAGTCTATTTAGAGACTGAAACTTTCCCATTCTGGACACAAGCCCAGAGCAAAAAAGAAAAAAATTTATTTATTTATTTATTTATTTATTTATTTATTTATTTATTTATTTATTTATTTATTTATTTTGTAAAGTGTGAAGCAGTCTACTTGACCAACTTGAGTTACTCTTTGTTCCCCCTTATATCCAAAAATAAAGCCTGCCAAAACACAGCCTTACATTCTAAGATGTTGACAAGACAGTTCAAAATACTTTCGGGGCCAGAAAGTGCTTTAAAATATAACAATTTAGTGGGGAGGGTATAGCTCAGTGGTAGAGTGTGTGCCTACCATGCACGAGGTCCTGGGTTCAATCCCCAGTACCTCCATTAAAGATAATAAATACATAAAAACCTAATCACCACCCCCCCAAAAAAAATCCATAGGATATAAAAATTTAAGTATTTTACCTGGAAAACATTTTGTTCAAACTTCCTAAAGTAACAGAAAACACAGGAAGCCTCCTTCCGCCTTAGGAGGGGGTTTTGTGAAGTGGTCAGTGGAAAAAGATCCAGCAGTGGCAGGATATGGAGACTCTCCTGTGCTTATACTTTTGGCAGGAGTAGGCGTACCTGACCCGAGGCCCTTCGCAGGGCGGCTGTGACCTGCGTTCCATCTTCTTGGTGAGACACTGTGGCCCCTGTCTGTGGAATGGCCTGCAGGTCAGGCCTCTGCTCCCTGGCTGCCCAGGGTGCGTTCTGCAGAGTGACTGCCCCCGTCTGCCTGCTCACAGGCAGCCCTGTGGGTCCACTTCCCGGGCCGGATGGTACTGTGAATTCAGAGTGTGGCTTTGCTTACCCTGCACAGTTAATAGTGCAAAGGGCACCACCATAGACAACTTTCTTCACAGATCGAATCCTAGGGAAATCCTGGCTTTTTCCCCTCCTGTCGTTAGTCCTTCCTCCCCAAGAAGCCAGCCCAGTGAGCTCCCTAGACATTGACCCGAGGCCTTCACGCCTTACTGCTGCTTGGCATTCTCTGCTGTGGGCTGCTCAGGGTCTTCAGAGAGAGAGAGACTGAGTGTGGGCCTGGGGATGGACTGGGTCACTGGGAACTGATTGTGGGGCATGTAGTCCCTCAGGTATGTCCTCTGTTTTATCTTCTCAGGTGTTGATTCACCAGGGCCTCTGAGGCGCTAACAAGGAAGGGCTAGAATGCCTGCCCTTCTCAGGCAATGGAAATGCCCTTCAGTAGTCAAGCAACAGCTTTATTTATTTTGGTGGTAACTATTCTGACGGGAATTTCTGGACAGAAAGGAAGGGAGCTGCGACTGGATGCCCCCTGTAAATCATCACATCAGAGACACGGACACCTGCTTTTTCAGTGTTCCACATGTCCTCAGTGCACTTAGGGCCTCACTGTCAGGAGACCCTACTCCAACATTTTCTGTCAGTTATCACTTGGAAACGTTGCTATCAATGCTAATCTGGAAATTGTATATCAAGTTTGTAAAAATCCGGTAGAATTTAAGGTCTTGAGGGAGGTGTCCCTCTGTTCAGTAGAGCAGCTGTTACCAAAGAATGTGTATTAACCAAAGACCAATTAAGAAAGGATATGAAAGACATACAAAAACACAAACAACAGAAATAGACCATAATCTTCCAGGCCCCTGTGTTTGGTTTAAGGTCAGAGTCATTGCAATCTCCTGAAAGGCGTGCTGTTCTCTAAATAACTTTTCTTGGTCCAAACCGTTGGATGTCATATAACTGCCAAGGCAGCAGAATTCACTGGAAGTTTCCAGCATCAGATTTCCTTGGAACAGGTTTACTCATGCCTTCAGTCTTCTGGAGCTGATTACTTTGCCATAGTAGGTGCTGACTCTGCATAGTAATCTGTTCTTATCTTACACGGTGTTTCCAATGGTTGGACAGTTGGAGGCATGCATAAGGCAGACACTTGGCTAAGCTAGTGAGTTTAATAATCCCTTTTTCTGATGTTCATTAGACTCAAGTTATACACCTGCCTGTTTGGTATAAGCAGGCCTCTAGGAAAAGAAATGAGTTTATTAATGTCTGTGGGCCTCTTCTATCAAAATTTTCATGTGACTTTATAGTACAATGATTGTTGTTAATTACAGATGCCTTTTTAGAGCACTATAAAAAGATGAATGCAACATTTATTCGACAAACATGTTTTGAGTAACAGATAAGTTATGAGTCACTACAACAAAATGATGAAAAATTAACCTATGTAGAGTTCATAGTCAAATGCAAGAGCACAATAAAATAATTAGAAGCAATTAGAATCAAGACCTAATAAAATAACTAGAATATCTTTGCACTTTATCTTATAATTGCAGTCTACACAAAATGCCATGGAAACTCCAAAGAATGAGCTGCTGCTAGTTAGATCTGTATTGGGACAGTTAGTTTGACAGAATTAATACAATATTTTTCACAAAGACGATGTAGCTACCAAAAATAAGCTTAATAAGATCTTGGGGTCCATTTGTAGAAGTACAATATCTAGAATTCAGAATAGTAAATATAGGTAATAACTACTTTGGACTTATCTAGCTACATATGGAATACTGGGTTCAATTTGGGATCAAAATTAAAAGGATATTAAGAAACCATAAGTTCATTCAGAAAAGACTGTTCACAGTGGACAACATGAGTAATATTTAGCCCAACTGGGATACCCAGAGAGAACTCCCAGAGAAACATGCTAACAGTCAGCAAATACCGGAAATGTTTTTGTAGAAAGATGTATTATATTTATTCCACAAGACCTCAAGAATAAAATAAATAAATTAAATGTGTGATGGATGCAAACTGCATATATGTTAATTTTGACTACATTAGGAAGACTCTCCCAAGAATTGGAGCTACCTAAAAGATAATATAAGCTGCCTTGAGTTGATAAGATTATCATCTCAGGGTTTAACTGAGGCTGGAATTTCTTAGAAAATATTGCAAATGCACACAAGCATCATCTGGGTAGTTAACTAAGTGATCTCTTTGGTCTCTCCCAAATCTTGGATTGTACCATTTGGAGTTGTGTTTTAATGTTACACATTATTTCCAAAACATAACCAAGTAGATGAGTGTTCTTATAATCTGTGCCTTTGGATTGTCTTATGACCAGTGCATGACAGTAGTGGGTGATAAATGAATCACTTAGCAAGTGACAGTCTGTATTAGTCTATACCAGTAACAAAAGTCATTCTCTACCACCAGGGGAATCTTATGATTCTTCACTGTTGGAGAAAACCTACACCAAGAAACAAACAAATGAAGTCAGCAAGTTGATGCAGAGTGAAGGCAACAGTTAAGACTAGGAGAAAAGCAGCATCAGAAAGAAGCAAACCATGGAGCAAAAGGTACAAGAAATGTCCCTTGCCAAGAACAGGAATACAGCTCACACTTAAGGTGATATTTAACCAAGAGCCAGACACTATTCTTGTTTTGGGGGGTGGAGTTTTTTTTTTCTTATTGAAGTATAGTTGATTTACAATGTTGTGTTAATTTCTGGTGTACAGCATAATGATTCATTTATATATATATATATATATATTCCTTTTCATATTTTTCATTATAGGCCATTCCTATAGAACTTGTTGTTTATCTATTTTATATATAGTAGTTAATATCTACAAATCCCAAACTCCCAATTTATCCCTCCCCACTCCTTTCCCCCCTGGTAACCATAAGTTTGTTTTCTATGTCTGTGAGTCTGTCTCTGTTTTGTAAATAAGTTCATTTGTGTCCTCTTTCTTCTCTTTCTTTCATTCTTTTTTTTTCTTTTTTTGGATTCCACATATAAATGAAATCATATGGTATTTTTCTTTCTCTTTCTGGCTTACCTCACTTAGAATGATGATTTCCAGGTCCATCCATGTTGCTGCAAATGGCATTATTTTATTTTATTTTTTTTATGGCTGAGTCCGCTGTATGTATATACCACAACTTCTTTATCCAGTCATCTGTCAATGGACATTTAGGTTACCTTCTTGTCTTAGCTATTGCAAATAGGGCCGCTATGAACATTGGGGTACATGTACCTCTTGAATTAGAGTTCCCTTTGGATAAATGCCCAGGAGTGGGATTGCTGGATCCTAGGGTAAGTCTATTTTCAGTTTTTTAAAGAATCTCTGTGCTGTTTTCCATAGCGCTGCACCAAACTACATTCCCACCGACAGTGTGGAAGGGTTCCTCTTTTTCCACACCCTCTCCAGTGTTTATCATTTATGGACTTTTTAATGATGGCCATTCTGACTGGTGTGAGGTGATACCTCATTGTAGTTTTGATTTGCATTTATCTGATAATTAGCAATATTGAGCGTGTTTTCATGTGTGTACTGGCCGTTTGTGTATCTTCATTGGAGAAATGTTTGTTTTGGTCTTCTGCCTATTTTTGGATTGGGTTGGCTTTTGTTTGTTTGTTTTGTTTTTTGTTATTGTTGTTGAGTTGCATGAACAGTTTATATATTCTGGAAATGAAGCCCTTGTCAGTCCCATCATTTGCAAATATTTCCTTCCATTCCATAGGTTGTCTCTTTGTTTTGTTTATGGTTTCCTTTGCTGTGCAAAAGCTTGTAAGTTTAATTAGGTTCCATTTGTTTTTTTCTTTTATTTTTATTCCTATTGCCTCAGTAAGCTAGGCCTAGGAGAACATTGCCACAATTTATATCAGAGAATGTTTTGACTGTGTTCTCTTCTAGGAGGTTTATGGTGTCTTATGTTTCAGTCTTTAAGCCATTTTGAGCTTAGTTTTATGTGTGGTGTGAGGGAGTGTTCCAATTTCACTAATTTAGATGCAGCTGCCTGACTCTCCCAGCACCACTTCTGGAAGAGACTTGGACATTGTTCTTGGTGCTTCATCTTTGCTCATTAGCTCTCCCAACAACCCTATGAGCTAGGTTTTATAAAAATCATTCTCTTTTGATGAATGAATAAACATAGCCACAGAGAGGTTAAGTAATAATGCCTAAGATCACACAGCTCATAGGCAATGAGCTTGGACTCAAACCCAAGCACTCTGGCTGTTGAATTCACACACTTAATGCCTGTGTAATGCCTATGCCTCTAGGCGAAGAAGGAAAAAATGAGTATTAGAGGATAGAAGGAAGTGTGTAAAGAAAACGGCTAAGGGAAAATGACCTAACAATTTCAGTTCCCTAAATTCTACTTTTAAAAAAAGGTAGATAACTGTTATACGTGAATATTTCATTTACAATCAGGAAAAATGGAAAAGTTTTCTTAACACATTTCTAATTCTCCTCATTAGAAATCATTATAACAAATTGACTTCTGAATGTCTTTCAGCCACTTGGCATTTGGACCTGTGAGTCTGACCTAACCTCCCGATGATAAAAGCCAGAAAGGATCCCCTTTCTCCTCTCTACAGAGACAAAGGGGAGAAAGCATCTCTTAATCGTTGTGTCAAAGCCCAAACTCAGGCAGGATGAAGGAGGATTCAGACATCCTCAGACTGACAGCAGTTAGAAAACGTTATGTCTTTCACATCATTAATGGAAGTGAGCAGTGGAGGAATGTTTACAGTCTCAAAATACTGTTCCAAAATAGAAGCTTGAATCAGCACCAGCTGTATACAAAGATCGCGTGATGCTCAGTCTTTCTCTGGACCCTAGATATTTCTCTCCCCTTAATTTGGGACCGTCAGAGTTGAGTAGGGGAAGAGCTTACAAATATTCTTTATTGTACCTTAATCCATGCTGCTATGCAGAGACTTCAGCCTCTCCCTTCAGCCTACCTGGCAGGGTGTATCCTTGAACCTGAGGGTAGGAGCTGCCTGAATCCTACCTTTACCAGTTGCCTTCCATACAGTCCGGGGTAGCTTCCCAGAATGAAGCACAGGACACACCAACATATTGTCAATATTCATAGAGACATCATAGAAAATTTTACTTTGGTAGATGGGACCTCTCAAAGAGTTTCTGAGACTTTGTTTATTGCAATCCTGTGGGCTGTGCCGTAATCAAACCCCACCCAGAACCAATACAACAATGGGCAAGTGAACGTACAGAGTGAAAATTCAATTGTTGCCTCTAATTCAAGTCCAAATGCCCAATCTGTGTTCCATTATGAAGGAAGGAGGAGAACGGACCCACAGGGAATCTTGGAAACAACTAAAGGCATCTGCGGGCCTGAAGCATGTGTCATTTATTTCTACAACTTGTATTTTAGAATGTGGAAAACTGTAAAGTCTGACAGAAAACCCCTAATAAGAGTCAGAGCCAAGAATTTGCGGTTAGTAAGGGGCGCCGTGTGGGAGAAAAGGGAGGGAATGATTCCACTCCCTCTCCCTCCAGTTTCTGAGTCACAGATTTAAAGCAATCAGAGGCATATTCATTGCATATTAAGTTATTCATTATTCTCCCCCAGATGTCCCGCGGATGCATTGCGCATAACGCCATGGGTCAAGTGTAATACTACCGTGTCATTTCCATGTTGAGCGAAGGTATTCTGATGCATGCTAAAGCTTGGGAAAAATACACTGGAGAAGGAGCACTGTCTTACCTGTCTGACTGTATGATGTAAGTTGACTTATTTATTAATACGTTGACCATCAAATCTTCAGAAACTGTATCAAAGATAACCACTTTCTTTGCAGTCATTTGATTTGTCTGTCTGCTTATTGGACTACATAATGAACATGAATCAAATTTTTAAAATACAAAAGGGCATACAAAGTGGGATGGGTATAGCTGAGTGGTAGAGTGCATGAGGTCCTGGACTCAATCCCCAGTACCTCCATTACATCATCAACATCATCATCATCATCAGGCAGCTGTATATGTAATGACCCTAGAGATATGGAATGTGATAAAAGCAAAAATGTGTAACTGTGTAAGTTTCACTACCATTGGTGTAAAAGTAGAGACTGTAAAAGGGCATACAAAAATTTTCTCCCCTTTACTCCTGTGCCCTAGAGGCAGAGCAAGATTAACAGTTTGTTTTGGATGCTTCCAGAGTTATCTTATATATATACACCAGCAAATAGATATATTCTTTTGTCATTTTTTTTCTATATGAAGTGTGGGACTGCACTCAAATGTACATGACTCCAATATTAAGTTTTGTGGCCTTTTCTAAATTTTGCAAAAGAAGTTATGCTCTATAGAAACTTCTTAAAATAGGGATGTGTTTTGCATTCACATGCTTCCATTAAACAAATTCTAATGCTGTATACTAACAATGTCTTTTCTTTTTACTTGATTTTCAAATATCCTGTTTAAATGATCAAATAGAATTATCATCACCAGGTACTGTTTCCCTTACATCATGCCCCAAAAGCTCAGCCTTCTACAGATGTCAAGGTTTCATCACATATAACTGATTGGGTTTTCAGATTAAGATTTGAACCATGTGTTATTCATTCAATAATGCTGGAATTTATTCCAAATTATCCTGGAGGCCACTTGCTTTTAGCCTCCCATCAAGAGTTATATTGAAACTCCTTTTTGAATTTACTTTTATTCTGTTCTTCCACACTTGGCATAATGCCAGTTCACTTTTGACTAAAAAATACAACCATACTCTCCTTCTTTAGTCTTTTAGCAATATTGCAATCCTGGCACTTGATCTCTGCAAGCAATTATCTCCTTTCTTCAATTCTTCTTTTAATATTCTTTAAAGGAGTTGAAACATCTGAAGTAGCCCTTTGGTCTATGCCAAAATGTTTCCAGCTATCTCAAAATATGAACCAAATTATACCAAGGGGCTTATCTTTTTAAAATGAAGTGTACAGGAATGATTCTAAATTCCCTAGCTTAGAATTCAAGGCCTGCAATATTCTGCTTTTTCAGAGACATCTCCCTTAATTGAGCTTTCAGCTCAATAAAGATTATGTTATTTTTAGTTTCCTATATCTTTGTGGTGTATTTCCCCTTCCACGACCTCATGAAGGCCATTTCCTTTGCTAGCTTTTCAGCCTATTTGCAACCCATATATCAAGGTTCCACCAAGCCACTGAGATGCCCCTGATCTCTTAATGATGCTATTTCTTATTCGTAAATGGGCATATTTTATCTTACTGAGTTTTACAACTGCCCTCTGAGATAAAAGGTGTGAGCATTATTATCCTGTGTTACAAATGAGGAAATTGAGGCTTAGAGGGCTTAATCGTTCTTTTGAACTCTTCTGCACTGACAAGATTCTCCACTCACTTTACACTCACTCTATACTACCTCATAATACTATCTCTTTACATGCGTGTGATTTATAGTGACAGCTCAGTCTCCTTAAAAGCTGTTTATCTGATTGTTTCTTGTATTCTCCCTCTGTGACTTGAACAGGAAAGGAGCTCAGTAAATATTAGTTGTTTGACTTGTTATAATTAAAGAATGATAACACTTTGAGCAGGACAGGAGCCTTATAGATCCCTTAATGAATACTTGTGTTTCTCAGAAGTTTTGAGGTTTGTATGGTCTAGTGGGTAATGGGTACAGTGCCTTCATTTTCATTAGAAGAGTTGAGATAAAATTACTTTAGTTTTAAATAAGTGCCGATATATAATGGTATGGAATACAAAATTTAAACTAGTTTTAAGATGAAACATGAAACAAGTTTCTACAATGACATGTGAAACCGTTACTGAACTGAATTTGGGTCTGCTCGCCTGCCACACAGCAAAGCCAATCTACTGACACTGGGTTGTGGTGAAGGGAAGTACAGCACTTACTTGCTGGGCACCAAGCAAGGAGAATAGGCAGCTCATGCTCAAAAGACCCAAACTCCATTGGCTGATACAAACTACTATGTACAGAATAGATAAACAACAAGGTCCTACTATATAGCACAGAGAACTATACTCAATGGCTTATAGTAACCTATAATGAAAAAGAATATGTATAACTGAATCACTATACTGTACACAAACTAATACAACATAAAAAACAAAAAATAAACAAACGAAAAAGCCTTAGGGGGAAAAAAAAAGGACCCAAACTCCCCAGTGGCTTTCAGGGGAGGGTTTCTGAAAGGCAATGTTAGGGGTAAGGGTTGCAGCTCATGGACTTTCTTCTGACTGGTTGGTGGTAAGGTAACAGGGTGATGTTTTGGGAACCTTAATCATCAACCTTCTTGTTCTAACCAGTCTGGGGTCAGTATGTAGTCACCATCCTCTACCTGGGAGGGGATCTTAGTCTCTGCAGAACAACTCAAAGATATGCATCAGATTGTTTTGTCTATTCCTTGAGGAGGAACTAGGACTCTGTTTTATCGCTGCTGATTATTGTTGAAGTTATCATTACTTTTCTTGCTTAGCTGCTTTTCTTTTGTTTCTGCATTCCCTCACTTCCCTAATTAGTAACTGCTTCAGTCCGCTCTTTGGAACTCAGAGAAGGCCTAGGAGTCTAGAGCCTTTTTCTACAAACAAGAAAAGGGGGACGTAGAAGGGATTTTGTACCCAGGAGGGCCCCTCAGGGTCCTGCCTGGTTTTGAAATTTCAAAGAAACTCCCGAGAAAGTCGACCCTAGACTTCTAGGGGCTAACTTATTTTCTCTTCTGAAGTTGGTACTATTTCTATTGAAAAAGTTGGGAAGCATAAAGTTGCAACACTGGCTGAGGCCTGGAGAGGCTAAGCAAATTGCCCCAAATCACTTATTAACTCAACCAATATTGATTCAGCATCTGCTACTAATTGTGCAAATACCAGGGCTAAAACAATGAGCAGAGCAGACAAGGATGCTGACCTTATAAAGTCTGCATGCAAGTGGGAGTGAGGGGAGGAGAGAGTCATTGAATTCGTATTCATTGTGTGTAACCCATATAAACCAGCCACTCTAAATAAGTCTAAGTAACAAAACAGCAAATTAAAGTAATAAAGAAATGGGAGAAAATGTTTTATATGAATTTCAAATAATGATAACCTGTTAACTCTTTTAGGACAGGAACTACATTTTGTACATTGTTTTTTACTTTGTACAGTGGATCTTTTAGAGTATCTGTACATGGTAAAGCGCATGGAGAACATAACGTCTATTTAATAAATATCTTTGGATTCGCTGTAATAAAAAGGAAATGGCACACATTAAACTCATACAATGTTATGTATCAATTATATCTCAACAAAGCTAGGGAAAAAAGAAAATGACTATTACATGTATCCATGTATTTTTTTCCATAATAATTGGCCCCTCTTAAATGTTTAACCACATCGAATATGTAATGAACATAAAATAAGACTATTTTATTTAAATCTACTTTGTGGAAGATAAGACCTTACACACTCAAGCCAAAGAAGAGTCTGATCAGAACGTAGATAAATCTGCAATAACTGTCCTGTAAAAAGGCACTGAGGCCTCTTGGAAAGATTCTATAAATCACAGGCTCAGGTTTAAACCAGCTGTAAGTAAATCTTGGTAAAGGGTCTTCTCAGTTAAATGAAACTATTTGGTTCTTCCCCAAAGAAGGCAAAAATACACCTGAAGCCCTTAGCTTCAGGCCTCCCGGAAGGCTAAATTCTTCACTAGTTGCACAGCTTCCTTTTAAAACAATTAAAATCATGTCTGGTAAAAGCATGCAAATGGTGCTGTCTTCTACTATAACATTGTAAATAGATAGAGTTTAGTCACAGTTCAGTATCATTTAAGATCTTTATTAATAATGAGAGAATAGAGTAGATGAAAAAATAAAGCTCTAAGTTCTCAGATTCCATTTTCGAGGTTAAGAAGAAAATATATTTACCAATCACAGAGTCAACCTAAATACCTTTCAAAACGATTGAACCTATTTGAAAGCTTTTTCCAAGGACAACTCAGGCAGGAATCAATACAAAGCAGTAAAGTGACTGCTTTGTTTGCCTTCCAAAAAAGCTCTGTAGCAAATGAATATTTAATGATAGACAAACCAATATGCTGAATGGAAGCAATAATGGTTTGGGAAAGCAGATAGAAGGGTTCTGTTACACTGGAGGATCGGGTGAATTACAATTAGTCTAATGATGGAACTTTTAAGTCTCTGCTTTATGGCTGTTGTCCTGAAATGCTACTCATGGGTCTGTTATGAATCCTCTCTCTCCATGGTCTGTAGATCTTCACCACATGCACGCAGATAATGCATCCTTATAGTTATCCAAAATGGGTCCAGGAGTCTAAGATTGAATTTACCTTATTTCTTTTCCTTGGCTTGGCATTTTTACCTGGGGTACAAAACAGAAGACATAAAAACAGTCTACAGTATTTAAAAAAAAATCACTTCAGAGACTTCCCAGTTACCATTTCACCTTGGTCTCTGAAAGATACAGAATAATACAGTCAAGCAGCAACAAAGAAGTCTGATGGGGGGCTTACCTGGAAACAGTCAACCTACAAGAAAGTTTGAAATCAATCTAATTGGGGAAATTTTGCCCTTTAAAAGCAATGGATTTTTTAGTCCATTCCTGAGAGATGAAATGGCCAGTCCTTTTATTCCATTAGGATTTTTTTTTGCTGGAGGTCCTAACCTCTTCCTCAGAGGGAGCTACTTGATTTCTCAAAGCCTTAGAATTATCGGGGTCCAGTGGGTGTGTCTGTACAAGTCTTTGAGTCAGGGA